GATGGGTGAAGGATGTGTGGATTCAATGCACAAGGAAGCCTCTGCTATCAGCGCTCATTGGAGCGGTGGCTGCAAGTTAAAGCTAGTGGAGGGAAGACCATGGCATCACCTCCTCTAGCGGTGACCGCCTGCTCCCGAGCAGATAGCCGTGCATATAAAAAAAGATTGCTTAGCCTGCCCTCCTGTTCAGTAGGGGGCAGTCACATCCAAGCACACTAGTCAGTCTGTTATTGGGGACCCATTACATTTTACATGGGGAACCCCATTTGTGACTCCACCATTGCCCCTGTGGATGATTTAATTGGGGATCGGTCCTGCTTTGAGCAGGAGGTTGGACTAGATGACTTCCTGAGGTCCCTTCCAACCCTGAGATTCTATGTAGGAAAGAATTAGGAGCCCAAGTTTCTGGTCAATGTTGTTCTTTAGCTGACTCCTTTCTTCTAGCGTTAAAGGCTTTGCAGTATGAGGGATCTGAATATGTTATGGCTATAGCCTTACCTGAGTTATGATTGTTGCAGAGAGTATATATACTTCAGGACTCTCCTCTGAACCTTGTGATACAGCATGGCCAGAAGACAGCAGGATAGTGACATAGGAGAGAAATGTAAGTCCCAGGATGAGTCATTGGAGCAGAGGAGAATTTGGAGAAGAGCCGTGGCTGGCTAGAAGACCAAGACCCTAGGTAAAGAGACACCCGGCTTGTGCAGAGAGAGAAAGAGAGAGGTCAGGAAGCCCCACAAGCTGAAGAGCAGGAGAGGGAAGTAGCCCAGGGGAAGGAAGCACTAGTTCAAGTGGTTTACCGCTATCCCTAGGGCCCTGGGCTGGGACCCAGAGTAGAGGGCGGGCTCTGGTCCCTTCCTCTCCACTACCCTTCTCTGGGTTACTAGTGGGACAGTAAATACCCTAGTTCAGGGGCAGGAAACTGTGCCCTGAACCCCCCCCATCATAAATATAAAGGGAAGGGTCATCACCTTTCTGTATACAGAACTATAAAAACCCTCTTGGCCAGAGGCAAAACTCTTTCACCTGTAAAGGGTTAAGAAGCTAAGACAACCTCGCTGGGACCTGACCAAAATGACCAATGAGGAGACAAGATACTTTCAAAGCTGGGGGGGGCAAAGGCTCTGTCTGTCTGTGAGATGCTTTCGCAGGGCACAGATCAGGAATGCTCTTCAGAACTCCTGTAAAAAGTTAGTAAGCAATCTAGCTAGAAATGCATTATATTTCTTTTGTTTAATGACTGGTAAAATAGCTGTGCTGAATGGAATGTATATTCCTGTTTTTGTGTCTTTTTGTAACTTAATGTTTTGCTTAGAGGGATTCTCTATATTTTGAATCTGATTACCCTGTAAGGTATTTACCATTCTGATTTTACAGAGGTGATACAGAGGTGATCAAGTTGCAGTGGGGGAGGTTTAGATTGGATATTAGGAAAAACTTTTTCACTAAGAGGGTGGTGAAACACTGGAATGCGTTACCTAGGGAGGTGGTAGAATCTCCTTCCTTAGAGGTTTTTAAGGTCAGGCTTGACAAAGCCCTGGCTGGGATGATTTAACTGGGAATTGGTCCTGCTTCGAGCAGGGGGTTGGACTAGATGACCTTCTCGGGTCCCTTCCAACCCTTATATTCTATGATTCTTTTACCTTTTCTTTAATTAAAATTCTTCTTTTAAGAACCTGATTGCTTTTTCATTGTTCTTAAGATCCAATTGTTTGCGTCTGTGTTCACCTGTACCAATTGGTGAGGATATTCTTATCAAGCCTTCCCCAGGAAAGGGGGTGTAAGGCTTGGGGGGATATTTTGGGGGGAAGACGTCTCCAAGTGGGCTCTTTTCCTGTTCCTTGTTTAACATGCTTGGTGGTGGCAGCATAGGGTTCAAGGACAAGGCAAAGTTTGTACCTTGGGGAAGTTTTTTAACCTAAGCTGGTAAGAATAAGTGTAGGGGGTCTTTCATGCAAGTCCCCACATCTGTACCCTAGAGTTCAGAGTGGGGAAGGAACCTTGACACCCCCCAAGAAGAGGAAGCTTGGGACCCATCATAATCGTACCAGCAATTTGCCACAACCTGCAAATCTAGGTTGTTTTGGTGAGACTTGCATCTTTCTGGCACTTTGTCGTGCTTAGAGCCCACAATGATTTATGAAGATGGACAGACATAATTATTCCTAGTTTTCACATTGGGAAACCAAGGCAAAGAGTGGTCAGGTGACGTAGCACACTCGACGGTCTGCAGCGGAGCTGGGAACAGGACACAGGCTGTTGCAGTCCTATACTGCTACCCTATCCGCTGGATCACACGGCTGCTGGAGTAAATGCCAGTAACACTATTCGCATCAGAGGCCAAAGCTGCTGTTGGTGTCTGAATCTAGAGCCGTTTGCGGAGAACAAAATGCTAAGAGGCAAGAAGACGAGGATTAAAACACCACCACCACCACATTTAATTTTTGCCACAAATTATCTGCATCTTTAAAGTTTTTCTCCATGTTGCATATTTTTTCCCCCTGCGGTCCTTGGTTCTGCACATCAGTGTCATGGAATCCCGTGAAATGAATTATTAAACTAAAGACAGACAAAATGTGGTAGGACAGGCTAGGGTTAAATTTTGCTGGGCTTCCCTTGTTGCTGGCTGTTGGGAACTGAGATGCAGGGCTCTGATTCAGGAAGAAACCACATGTAGCCAATGCTGCTATTGAGCAATGTTGCAGAACTCTCCTGAAAACTGACCTCCTGTGACTTCGCCCAGGGGTGTTTGTCTCTGGATCAAGGCCTTAGGTGGAATTAGATGGAAATAGCAGGGCTGATGGATTTAAATTTGACCTTCTTTTAAAGTGACACTTGCTGTTTAAAGTAAGATTCCCTAGTAGTGCAAAAAACATCAGCTTTTCAAATGTTAGGGCTGTAGTAACCATGTTTAAAATTCCCTTTCCTTAACCCATTGGCTAGACACTCCTATTACCAGGTCTCCAGGCAAGCTCCATTCAAGTTAGCCAGGAGCAGGGAGATGTGGGTAAATAAGAACACTGCACTCTAAGCCACTGTCGGAAGAGAGGATACTGGGCTAGATGGACCATTGGTGGGACCCAGTATGGCCGTTCTTAAGCACAAGTGAGTTGCATAGCTTCAATCCCCTGCTGGTGGGTCATAAGAATATGGAATGAATCTACAGCCAGGCCACTGTCATGTGGGCAGCTCACCCAAAACAGGTAGAACATGTAGACTAGATCTTGGAGCCTCTGCTCCAAAGCCCCAGGTCTCTACTGCTTGTGTGGAAAAGAGGCTCACCTGTAGGTGCAAATAGTATCAAGTCTTATGCTCATTCTTTATTTACAGGCACCAAGCCACTAGGTGGCAGCTTGATCACCAACACTTGAGCAGTTCTGATTTCATCCAGCAGAAGGCAGTGGTGAAGAATGTAGACCAGCCAGTGCTTTGTCGGGCTAGGGCAGTGGTTCCCAAACTTGAACAACCCGTGAACCCCTTTCACTAAAATGTCAGGTTTAACTTATAAAAGCAGTGATCTTGGAAATATACAATTTGTTTTTATGACATGCTTATTACGCCCTATTTATTATTAATTATTTAGCGTTACAGTATTTTTATTACATTCTGAAAACGGCAACACTCTTCCAAGATCTCACTTTTGTAGCTTGTATCACTTTGAATAAGCCTGTTTGTTATAAGACAAGGCTCCTAGGTTTCATCAAGGAGTATGAGATGTGAAACAGCATGAAGGGATTTAAGACGCCAACTCAGAGTTTCTCCAACACAAGCATTCGGGTCTTGAGCAGTCCAGGCAAACGACACACGTTACAACAAAAGCTTAATTTTAAAAACACACTAGCTGCCTATTTAATTCTAAAAACAGCAAAAAATATCCACCTCCCTTTCCATTTCTTATAAGGATTCTTGAAGTTTAAATCTCCTCAGTGTGATAGATATGCTTGCTTTGATCTGCTGAGCTCTTGGAAGTCCAGGGACTCTGGGCTGCTGGCCCTGTGCTGCCCGGGGTCCCTAGGGACAGTTCTGTCCGCCATTAGGGAATTTTTTCCCAAGAACCCCCTGTAACATTTTGTGAACCCCCAGGGGTTCACAAACCCCAGTTTGGGAACCACTGGGCTAGGGGATGCAAGGAATAGCACCAGGTGTAGACACATCAATTGTGCATGGGTATTTAAAATGTCTGTGGCTAGCTTTCACCCATCCTAGAAGCTGGGATTTTAGGACTATTTGTGTGAGGCTCCTGTGACTGACAATTTACACACAAATATTTATTGGAGAGACATTTGAAATCTGAAAACCTCATTTTTAAGGCAGGTTCTTTGAGATGGTAGTGAAACTTGGGGCTGTTCATGCTTGAGAGACTCCCGTTGATGTGTGACCAATCCAGCTGTATAAAATCCTGCAGTGTCAGCTCAGAGGTCTGTGTGCACCTCTTTCTGATTTTTACTTTGGGTGGGTGATGATGTACCAGTAGCTCAAAACGTCAGAGTGAATCTTAATGAAAACTTCTATGACCGCACCTGGTTTTGTATGGAAGTCCCAAGAAACCACCAAATTTCACTAGACACCATTAACATAACCCCAGCCTTGCTTGAAACTTGGCTAAAATTCTTGGCAAACTCAGAGATGCTTTGTGAAACTATGGGAAATTTGGACTGAGGTTTGCCAGAAAACCCCAAGCTCCTTGGACTGGGGGTTTTGTTATGAAAGTTACTTCCAACTCCATTGACTGGTGTTCTGGGGAACATTGATGTGTTGCTTATTTTTCATATGGAAGCAATGGAAAGAAACAAAAATACAAAATTGATTGATTGATTTTGAAAATGTGCTTGTTTTCATTGCACGTATAAAATCCTATTTCAAGAGGAGAAAAATTCCAAGTTGCTTTCCCCATGGTCATTAACAAAAGACTCGGAGCAAAGTGGTTAATAGCATAAGGAGCTTAGGTTAATTATTAAGCTTGCCCTATGGATAGCTCTGAGCTTTTACTATGATAGGCATCCAACCTGCACACAAACTAGTCTGGTAAGTTACAGCACGACATGATTCAGTTACCTGCAGAGCAATTAGAGTTAGTGCTTGGAACACCCTTGTCCCAGAACAGCAACAAAATTGAACCAAGCTGTCAGGTTCCAAAGGGGTGAAACCAGAAAAGTTATTCTGAAACCAGAGGTACCTGTGTGCATCTCTCATCTGAGCAATGGAAGAAAAGCACGCAGGAAAAGGTAAGCAGTATTGTCGTCTTCTTTGTGTGTGTGTGTCTTTGTGTATCACTTCAAATGCAAGGTCACTGTGAGTACAGGTTGTAGAATCTGGTCAGTAGTGATTGCGGTTGCATTCGTTGAGAAATGTAAGGAGGAGCCATCAACCACTGATTGCATTGTAAAGTGGCAGAGCTCGCACCACAAAAGATAGAAGCAAGCTAGTTTGTGGATGTTTTCCATGACTATAGTGTTCACATATGAATATCTAATCTCCATCAGAACCTGGAAGCAGGAGGAGCAGAGGGAAGGGAACATATATTCCTGAACATTTGTATACTTAAGTTGAGAGAACCTGGCAGTTTTCTCTTTCTGCTGTTTACCTACCAGGGCCGGCTACAAAACTCATGATTTTTAGCCACTGCTCTGCTACAGACTCACCGTGGGACATTGTACTAAGTCACTTACCTCCAGGGGTGCTGGAACAATGTGTATAGTGAAGGTGCTGAGAGCCAACCAAACTGTAAACCCTGTATATGAAGGAAACCACTTCAAGCTGGGGATGCAGCTGCACCCCTAGTTCCAGCACCTATGCTTATCTCTCTGTGACATCTGTAAAAGAGAGGCTACAATATGTATCTGCTTCAAGCAGGGATGTTCGGAGACCCAATGAATTAACTGAAGTGTGTGCGGCATGTTGGGACCCTGGGATGAAGTGCCATGTAAGCTATTAACGGCCATGCACGGCTGCCAGATTGAAAGGGGGATGTCATTCAAACAATCCACTTGGTTGATCTCAATAGGACCAGCAGAAGGCTTAAAGTTTCCAATGTGCCTGTCACGGTTTCCCCGTCTAACCGCAGCTCTGTCCCGTTTGTGGCCTTTCTGAGTGCCCCCCTCAGGTGTCAGCCTTTTGCCTTTCCCTATCTTGCAGTGAAATCCCACAGTTCTCCCGCTCCTAGAGTGGGTCCTAGGCTGCAAAATCCTATGTATCTCCTGCGCTCAGGGCTTAATTTGTGCCAGGGCTGAGCCATGGCACCTCAAGGCTTGGCAAGTCATAGCCCTGGCACCTCAGAACTGATGCGGGAAGCCCAGAATATAAAAAAATGGCTTGACCCCCCCCTCTACCCCCAGCACCTCTTTCATTACAAATTAAACACAGACTGTGCTTATCTGGCCGGTCCAACCCGTGGTTCTTCCCTTTGGCAGTCTGTGACCAGTGGTGCGCAGGGCCACCTGGTCGGCCGTTGTGTTGCTTGTTTTGCAGTAGGAACAGAGAGTACAGAGAGGAAAAAATTATTCTTGAGCAGCCTATGCACCCGCCTCTCTTTAGAGCCTTGCAAATCCGCAGATATCCATGGGCCGTTTTTGCGGATCATGGATCGGCTGCAGATACAAGTTTTGGATCAAAAAAGAACGAGATAAGTTCACGGAGGCTGGGTCCATCAATGGCTATTAGCCAGGATGGGCAGGGATGGTGTCCCTAGCCTCTTGTTTGTCAGAAGCTGGGAATGGGCGACGGGGATGGATCACTTGATGATTACCCCTTCTGTTCATTCCCTCTGGGGCACCTGGCACTGTCGGAAGACAGGATACTGGGCTAGATGGACCTTTGGTCTGACCCAGTATGGCCATTCTTATGTTCTTAACTGTGCAGGGCTCTACCTATACAGGCTTACCATCCCCCGAGGGTAACCTAGGCTGCCCTAACTGCTTTATAGGTTCCCAGCATGTCTGTGTCTCAGCCTGGTTCCCTCAAACAACACCCCTTCTCTTGAAAGTGTGTTCCTTTCTAAACCTGCCCCAGGTATTCTGCTCTCCTGGGTTCTAGTCTTGGCTCTGCCACTGACCTGTTCTGTGACCATGGACAAGCCCTTCAGCCCTCCATATCTATTTCCCCCCCACACTGTCTGTCCATCTTATTTATTTAGACTGTAAATTCCTTGGGGCCTGGGCTGTCTGTACAAAGGGCCCTAATTTCGGTTGGGACCTCTAGGTGCTACCATAATAATCATCGTGAATTACACCTTCCAATTAGCTCCTTGTCTTGCTCTAGCCCTGCTTTCCTGTTTTCTCGACGCGTGAGTTGCACCAGAATTGAGACGCTAAGACTCTGAGCCTCCTCTGATTGTTCCCCAGGCAGTAATATCCCCATTTTATAGATAGGGGAAACTCAGCGGTAGGTCGTACTTTAGCCACCAACCTTGCTCAAGGGGTAGCGTATAGCTGCAGCACTCCTGGAGCAGCCAAGCAGAGGAAGCGACCCTCCATGCCCTCCGTTAGCTTTGCTGGGCGTTCGGCAGTGCCAGCTGAGGATCTGACCCTGGACACCTTCCCTAGGAGGTGGACTGAGCTCACAGACGCTTTTTGCACAGAGTGCTGAAGAGCCAGAAGAGTTTAACGGCGCCCTTCCGAAGGAATGGCGCACCTAAATCCCTTAAGCACTCTCGACAGTCCCTCGCTCGGTGCCAAAATAGGAGTAGGGCTTGGGAAAACGTGGCTCTGGGTGCTGAGCACCTGAAGATCTGGCTCTTGGAGTGATGAGGCTTTGTTTGCTGTTATCGGCCCCGTGTGTGTGTTTAAACCTTTTCTAGTGAATGAGATTAAATGATTCTCTCGCCGAGGCTCTTTTTGATTTCAGGAAACAGCCCTCCCTACCTGGCAGAACGATGACTCAGAGCAGAATTGGCCTGCCCTGAAGGCTTGTCATGTGAATGAGGAATAGAGAGGGCTTTTTTATGTTACAGCGAAGGCACGCAGGTACTAAAACCACATGGTAGACCTGTGAAGATGTGAGCGATCTCAGGAAAATCTCCCATGCAGTTGAAGTCCGGGGCCAGAGATGAACGCTTTGATACCGTCCTTTTTGAACGTGGAGCTGCTGCTCTTTGCAGGTGAGTGCTAGAAGGCAGGGGCTCTCAAACAGTTATCTGTGGGGCCAGCAGGACAAAGGAACGAATGCCACTGGGAAGGCAGTGGGATTGTTGGGAGGCTGGGAGCAGCTTTGCAAGGGGCTCTGCCTTCATGGGAGGCTTGTGAAGTGGTTTGCGGTAAGGATGAAGTTCGATGACATAGGGCACTGGCGGTAGCATGCAGGATTTCATGCAGTGTTGTAGCTATTATACAGAATGTGCCACTTTGCCAGTGGTCTCTATACACTGTGTATTACAGACCCAACCATGGACCAGCAATGTCCAGTGCAATATTTCACCTACCCAATACTCCAATGCTGGGACACGTGGCAGTGATTTTTTTTTTCACTACAGTGAACGACTATCTCCTCTAGGTTGTTGGTTCAAATTTAGCTCAGGCAAATAGTGGACAAAAGTTTTTGTCATCTGATGGTTTTGTTGAGGATTTTGGTGAAACGTATTTGGATCCCAGTCTAGTTCCTAGAGGAAAAATGTCCATATCTCACAAACCATTATAACTACTGCTCTTGTTGATAGCCTCAGCTGATGTCCTCTGTTGGAATGGGAACTGCACTGTTCTCTGGTTCGTAGGTGGTCCCATAAGGTCATTCTCTGGTGAGGGAAGCTTACTTCATTGCTGTCTATACTGTGAATAACTAGGAGATGTCATTCTTAGTTTCTAGCCTCCGTTATGTTTGCTAAATCCAGCTAAACACAAGTCAGAATCTCTGAATGGTGTGGAACACAGCTCCTTCATTTGGCTGTCCCACTAGGCAAGGACCCCTTTGTATCTGCTCGTAGGGGCTCTATATAGTTTTTCAAGAGGATGTTTCATGGTTTAACTAGAGTGGATTATCACCAATCCCTCTGCAGAACAGAACACTCTACAAGTGGAGCAAAGCTTGGGCAAAGCAGTGACTGCAGGAAGGCTTGTAAGCTCAGCATAGCAAGGCCTAAATGTCTGTCTCATTTTCAAGGGGGTCTTGGGCACCTAGGAGCTTATGTGTCGTTGGACTTTATATCTCCTCACATTTGTATTCATTCTATATACGCGTGTGTGTACATATTATGTATTTCTAATCTATTTTAGTTCCTCCAGTTATGCTGTTTGGGATTTGTTTATTTAGGGAAGGTATACTTTGGGTCGGAACATGTTGCTAGTGAACCTTTTAAATACCTTCCATGCAGAAATGTGTCTCAAGCATTGCCAATGCCATTGTAAAGATACATGCTGTGCACGACTGATTCTGCTGCTGTATTACATTTCATCCTGAAGTATCTGGGTTATTTTTGCAGTGGCTTCTGCAAAGTTATTCATTGAACCTCAGGAGGGCAGCCTTGCTGGAGGAACATGGATCACCCTGACATTGGATGGTAAGTTTTAGGAGGCTGCTAGTAATTGGTGGAAATCATTGGATAAAATGGAGCACTTGGAAGAATTGCAAGGGGTCAGCTGTGTTCTGAAACACAAGACCATAACAGGGTTCAAAAAAGAGTTAGATATGTTCATGGAGGATAGGTCCATCAACAGCTGTTAGCCAGGATGGTCAGGGATGGTGTCCCTAGCCTCTGTTTGCCAGAAGCTGGGATGAGGGATGGATCACTTGCTGCTTACCTGTTCTGTTCATTCCTTCTGGGGCACCTGGCATTGGCCACTGTCGGAAGACAGGATATTGGGCTAGATGAACCTTTGGTCTGACTTGGTATGGCCATTCTTATGTTCTTAATTTGCCATTCTGGTATGGGCAACTGTAAATGTAAAACAAAACAAAAAAACCCCACACAACAACACAGCAATCAGCCCCCCCAAAATCATGAAAAATCATTAGATTTTAAAAAAATAATCAATGCTGTGTTCTTTTTATTTGCCTTCTGGATTTTGAGCATTTAGGGTGCACTTCAGTAACACTGACCTGCTTTTCTCTGAAATCATAAGAGCTAGAAATGTACTCCTTTTTCAAACGAAAGATGAGATTTTCATATAGTCACAGGACTGCAGTAGCAGAGGCTTTAAGAAAACCATCAATTGTATTGTGAGACTTGTGATAAAATCATAAGAGTTGCCAGCATAGTTAGTCACATAGGCCATCATTGTCAAACTTGCTTGCCCCAAATTATCCATATAAATAATGCTACCTAACTCTTATATGCCTTTCATCAGTAGATCTGAGAGCACTTTACAAAGGACGTCAGGATCATTATCCCCATTTTTACAGATGGGGAAACTGAGGTGCAGAGAGCAGGCAGAGTGACTTGCCCAAGGTCACCCAGCAGGCCAGTGGCAGAGCCAGGAATAGAACCACGTCTCCTGAGTCCCAGTCCAGTGCTCTGTTCTTTAGGCCATAAATAAATGACCTGATTTTCAGAGGTGCTGAGCACTGGCTTCAGGAAGAGTTGCAATTCCTCAGCATCTCTGAAAGATCAGGCCATTTGTGTGTGCCTAAATATGAATTTTGGTGCCTGCCATTGGTGCCCAAGTTTGAACATTTTGGCTTAGTCAAGTATAACCGTGCAAAATATGTGGAAAGGGGGTGTAAAATGCCAAGGTGCAAGGTAGTGGAGAATCGGGTCCAGTGCAAGCAGAATGCTCTGTAAGAGAATGTGTATGGGAGAGGTTGCCTGGTAAGTATTTAAAAGCAGTTCACCCCCAAAGAAGATACATAGCTGAGTAGGAAGATGAACCATGTTTTAATATGAAAGACAATGCCCCACACTTGGTTTAAAAATCCTTGATTAGGGCCTGGCTCTGCTGTTGCTAGACACAATCTAAACTGCACCCTGTAAACGTTTTAATATGTTGTTGTCACGATCCTGCACTTACAAAATGTTTGTCATTAATGGATTGCTTAGGTCTGACATCTCCCCAGTTACAGTTCACTTATCCCACCAGTGGGTCTTTGCTGGAAGTGTCCCTAGTGAATCCCATTCTGCCTCCGGTACGGTGTGATGTCCATCCTGTATATTTCGATTTATCCATCATCAGATGCAAAACGAGGTATGGCACTCTAATAAAGGGGTTCAGAAATGACTTTCAGAAGATGCTGGAGGAAGATGCTGTGAGGATGTTTTCTTGTTATTTTCTGAATGTGTGTTAGCTTCAATTACTGTTTGAACCATTAGCATAAAAGACCTACCAAGATCCAATGGTTGGAAAGGTAGAAAAATTCAAATTGGAAATAGGGCACAGATTTTCAGTAGTGAGGGTAATTGATCAGTGATACAATTCACCCAGGGGCGTGGTAAATTCATCATCTGAGATCTCTATATCAAGAACAGATGCCTTTCTCAGGGATATGATCTTGCTCACCCCCAAGTTACTGGGCTCAGTAGCATTCGTACGTAGTGGGAAGAATAAATCTTCCATTGCAGCAATCATGGGGGGAGAAATTCTCAGGCCTGTGTTCTGCAGAAGGTCAGACTAGACGACTCTAAAGGTTCTCTTCTGGTCCTAAAAGCTCTTAATCCAAGTGAAAGACTCATTATCCCCACATCTAGGCACAGTAAAGCTGTGGGAGTCTTTTGGAAATTGGGGCGTATGCTCTCTAGAGCTAGCAAGAACAATACTTCTGAAAGGGATGCTCATGTATTTTGAGCCACAGATGTAGGTTTTGTGTTGAAATCCAACTCGGGTGGCTAGACTGACAGCTGAACTCCACTCTTGCCCCCCAGAGGTGATCCTTCTAGGTTCAATTTGGGGCACGCTGGCTGGCAGTGGAAAACTTCCACAGCTGCTGCCCAGGCTATACCTGCTATTATGTCCTTTGCCAGGCTGTCATACTGGTTGGAGAGCCCTCTTCTGGGGAGCAGTGCCCCTTGTCTGGGGGTTATGGCACAACGTCCCCCTCTAACTCTGTTGTCCCTGTCCCCACGTCCCTGTTCTGCCCTTGTTCATTTGTGTCAACCTCGGTGTTTTGTGTCTCCTCCCCTCTTCTAAGGAGTGACCAGTGAGGTTGGCGTAGCTCCATTAAAGTCAATGGAGCTACACGGATTTACATCCACAGAGGATCTGGCCCATGTTTTACTTTAAAACACACGAGCTGTTGTTTCCTTTGAAGGTCCTCGCAGCAGGAGGGGCTGTACCAGCTGGAGGTGATTGCTAATGGGCAGGTGATCAGCAACCCGGGTGGGATGCCTTGTGGCAACTGCACTTTCAAGGTAAATGCCAAGGAGGGATGGGAGGAAATGGCTAAAGGTAATCCAAAGTGGGGGTTGCAACTCAGGGTAACAGACTGATGCTGACAGGACTTGGGAGCTGGAGCCCGGAGCTGGAGCCCAGAGCAGTGGAGCTGCAGGTTTTTGCCCGGAGCTGGAGTGGAGCCAGAGCATAGCTCCAAAGCCCTGGATGCTGAGACAGGAGAACTTCGGTTGACTGTTGGGGCGGGAGGAAATTCTGACAGTGCTATCTCCTAGGTTGGGAAGAGGTGGATGCGCTATTGCTTGAGTCATTTAAAACTAGCCCTGACAAAGTGCTAGGGGATGAGGAATAATCTAGCACTGGTTCCCAGGTAGGGTGACCTGATGTCCCGATTTTTATAGGGACAGTCCTGGTATTTAGGGCTTTGTCTTATATAGGCGCCTATTACCCTTCCCCGCCACCCGATCCCAATTTTTCACGCAGAAGGTGTCCTTAGAATATTGTTCTCCACTTATATAAGTCAGTTCGTTGCCATGGCACTCTTGTGGTTAGACATTTGTGAACGTTCTATCTAGAAGCTGATGTTAGCTCATGTTCCTGTGGCTGGCTGATGTCATTATGGAGAAAATTCTCCTCTACACACTCTACTTCCAGTTCCCCAATAGCTAGGGCTTACCCTTGAGCTGGTTATCTGTGCCAAAGTTCATAGGCCTCAAGCCTTGTACTAGCTCCTAAAGCTAATGTCTTAGAGGGTACAGGCCTGTAGGTTCCTTGCATTACTGCTAAATATAATAAATGTAGAACTGAAGGCAAGGCAGTGAATATAATAAAGGAAGCTAGGCCTATGGGCTATGGCATGAAACCCATGATAACCAAGAGGTCTGTATACCAAAACCATGGGTTCATCAGGGAAGGGGTGCAGTCAGGCACTGCTCCCCATGGCATGTATCCAGATATTTCTGAACTTTGTCACTCTGAAATTCTATTGGAAATCTTGAGATCAGCTCTGCCTTCAAGGTTTGCAATTCTTTGTGAGTTTTGGCCTTATTGGGAGTGTTACCTGGGGTTCCCTAAAGTCAAAGCTCTCGGTAACTTTACTTTCTGCAAGGCGGTATCAGGAAATAAACCAAGGGAGATGCAGCACCTCTGTCTCCTATAGGGCTGGCATAAATCACACGCAATCAAATGCTTTTACTTAAAGCCTTCGCTTTATTAGTCTCCAGCACTTTCATGAGAATGCCTTTACTCAAGTCTTTGCTTTATTTAGTCTCAAGCACATACAAATACAATAGGTTATAGATCACTCCCAAAAAATAGTTACCCGTGATCTGGAGGGGTCTCGAGTTGTCAAACGACAAGGTTCAAGTGGCCAGCGACCTGCCTGTCACTGTGGATTTCAAGAGATATCCAAAAGGTCAAATACAAATTCCTCAGACCTGTCTACCCCTTTTATGTTAGTAACTGTTACAATTATGTCAACAGCATGTCAATCAAAGAAAAACCATTAGGCAAGCCCTATTTAAGCTGTTAGTTATACACATGTGTTTTTGCAGAGTCCGCAGTCTCGTGGGCCCCGACACACACACACATCAGAAGTCAAATATGGGTAGACTTCCTGTTTTTCACAGACCCTTACCGCAGCATATCAGAGAGGACATAGAATCAGACTCGGGCCTCATGATCACTGCCCCCCTTCTCTCCCGGCTTTGCCTTGGTGGTGATAAGGCTCATACAAAGGCCTGACCGGTGCTGCTTTTGGCAATACACAAATTAATCCATCTTCTATCCCAATAACTTGAGCACCTGGCTGGTTGCTAAAAATGCCCCTCTCCAGCAGAACTTTTCTGGGTGTGTTTCCACTTGTGGGTGAAGCCAGGAAATGCAGACGAAGATGCATTATGCCATGTTTTGTCTTTCTGCATATCCAGTGCAGCAATGGAGGCTCTAGGAAGAGCAGAAGAAGGCTCAGATTCCTGGGTTCTCTTTCCATCGCTACCTGCGATTTACTGTGGCAACGGTCATTTTACCTTCTCAGTTCCCCATTTGTATAATAAGGATGATTCCACTTGGCTCCTTTTTTAAAACCCTCAATTATGCTCCCACTAACGTCAATGAAAAAAAGCACCAGTGACTCTTATGGGTGCAGGATCAGGATTTATAAGAGCAATGGGTTTAAAATTATTCTAGGGTTACAGAAATCACTTAACCCTGGCAGAGCAGGACCCTCAGCCATCGCTGTTTGCTAGAGAACGAGCCCATTTGTGCTTGTCAGTCCTGTCTAGCTCTTTTCCAGGAGCGAGCAGGAGATCCTGATGTTTTCAGCAAATGCCACATTAACACATACAAGTCATTGGGCAGTTCAGCTAGCTTAGAGAGTTGATGAAAAATCACCAGGGGATGCTGTTAATGAGAGACATTCCAAGCGAAATAAACCACAATGCGTCTCTTTGTTTTGGAACTGGAAACCTGTGAGCCATGAGTATTAAAAAATTAATTTGGCCTCTCCAGTAGACTGCAAAACCCGCTGCAGGCAGTGACAAGTCTGAACTGCTCACAGAAGGTTTTCCTATCAGCTGGTGGCTGTTGCCTCGCTGCTCTAATCCGCTCCTTGCTCCAGCCAGTCCGGCTGGCTGTGGGCCGGTGCTGATCTCTCTCCTTTGCGATGACTGGCATGAAGGGAGCTTGATGCTAATGCTCATGAATTTTTTAGATTGCCATGTCTCCAGCCCGAGAGGGAGGCAGAGGCCAGAATCTATCGGAGAGTGCAAAGCTATGTTGGGTCACATGACAGCTCAGAAAGAATCAATGTTGTGAAGTCCTGGAAAGTCTGACCCCGGCTCTGCCAGGTCTTAGGCTGCTCAAGGGGATACTCCGAGTGCTTAACTCCAGAATATAAGTGCATGTCGGGAAGGGAGAGGGAGAGATGGCTAGGATCTGAGAGAGAGAGGGATAGTGGGCATGGGGGAAGAGAATGAGAGTGTAGGAGGACCCACTTACTTTTTAATAGGGATAAATCCTGGTCCCATTGAAATCAATAGGCGTTTGCCAGTGATGTAAATGGAATCAGGGTTTACTTTAGCCCATTAATAATACTTGGGTCTAGATTCACAAAGGTATTTAGGTGCCTAAAGATGCAGATAGTCACCTGGTACGATTTAGAAAAGTTCCTACCTCCCACTGACAGTCAGTGTAAATCCCACGAGGCTCCTAAATACCTTTGTGAAGCTGGCCCTTAGCTCTTACATGTTGCTTTTCATCTGGAGAGTTCAAAATGCTTCACGAAGGGAGATAGGTATCATCCTTCCCATTTTACAGATGGGGAAAGTGAGGCACAGATGCAAAGTGATTAGGACACGGTCACGCAGCAGCCCATGTGCGGAACCCAAATCTCCAGCCTCCCAATCCAGTGCCTATCCACTGCCTCCCAAGAATACAAAGCTGGGCTTCTTTACCATGCTCTGACCACTGCAGCTGAAACTGCAGTTCACATGTTGTACAGTTTTGGGATGACATCTCATGAAAATCCCAAATGCTGCATGTTTCTAAGAACTCAGGAGTTGTCAGATCAGATCAGGCAATTGGTCCATCTAATCCAGTACCCTGACTCTTAACACTATACAGTCTCAGAAGCCGCAGAAGGAGCCAGAAAACCCCCCATGATACACTTAATTCTGCCTCAGCACATGAGGCTGGACTAGAGGACCTCTTGAAGTTCCTTCCAGCCCTTCCTTTCTACAGTTGGAGCAGGGTAAATACCTCCCACAATACTCCGCTGATACTGGCTTGTGTAAAGCTCTGGGAGCCAGATCCTTGGCTGGAGGTGACTTAAGCAATGACAGTTTATCCCAGTGGAGGAGCTGGCTCTGTATTCATTCTTCCTATGTTTGCTTTCCAAGAACAGTCTAGAGAAGGAGTGAATTGGCAGGAATGCTTGCAGGGAGTGTTAACTGCATATGGGAGAACAACCCCCAGAGCAACAGATAGGCATGCTATAAACATCAGTAATATTCACAGAAAACAGCAGGGTTTCAAACTGAAACTCGCACACCAGGAACCTGAGGCTAAGAGTTACGTTCAGGTAAAACAAGTGATGCCATGTGAGCTGTAATTCCAATAAAAACTAATGCTTAGATTGCAGACGTTGGCTACAAATGGTCATCAGGCCCGGAATCATTTGTAGAAATGATTCAGCCAGTAATTGTGAAGGTACAAAGAAATTCGGGACAATCTCAGGCTGCTCATGAACAAATGAGGAGCAGAAAGAGAAATTTCATTGATTCGATTTTTTGCTAAGAATGATTGGTTCAGCTCTGTACCACGATACCCGTGGTCAACTGGGCAATGCAATGCACTGAGGAAACATGTGGGACTGTGCCCTACTGGAGAGACACTGTAGTGGCACCTTCCTGCATGCAATGACACTGCTCAAGAGGCAGAGACATAGGACTTCAGGAGCACCAGGGAAAGACTAGGGCTGCCAGGAATGCTCTCCACTCCAGAGGGGCTGTGTCTGGGATCTCCACTCTGTTCCCAGAGTTATAATCTGGCCCTAGTTTCCAACTTCTGCAGTGATCAGTGTCATAAATATAAAGGGAAGGGTAAACCCCTTTAAAATCCCTCCTGGCCAGAGGAAAAATCCTCTCACCTGGAAAGGGTTAAGAAGCTAAAGGTAACCTCGCTGGCACCTGACCAAAATGACCAATGAGGAGACAAGATACTTTCAAAAGCTGGGAGGAGGGAGAAAAACAAAGGGTCTGTGTCTGTCTGGGTGATGCTTTTGCCGGGGACAGAACAGGAATGGAGTCTTAGAATTTAGTAAGTAATCTAGCTAGAGATGCGTTAGATTGATTTCTTTAAATGGCTGAGAAAATAGCTGTGCTGAATAGAATGAATATTCCTATCTGTGTGTCTTTTTTGTAACTTAAGGTTTTGCCTAGAGGGATTCTCTATGTTTTGAATCTAATTACCCTGTAAGGTATTTACCATCCTGATTTTACAGAGATGATTCTTTTTTACTTCTATTAAGTCTTCTTGTAAGGAAACTGAATGCTTTTTCATTGTTCTAAGATCCAAGAGTTTGGGTCTGTGGTCACCTATGCAAATTGGTGAGGATTTTTAACAAACCTTCCCCAGGAAGTGGGGTGCAAGTGTTGGGAGGATTCTGGGGGGAAAGATGTTTCCAAACTACGTTTTTTCAGGAACCCAGATAAAGTTTGGTGGTGGCAGTGGAAGTCCAAGGGTAAAATAGTTTGTACCTTGGGGAAGTTTTAACCTAAGCTGGTAGAAGTAAGCTTAGGAGGTTTTCATGCAGGTCCCCACATCTGTACCCTAGAGTTCAGAGTGGGGAAGGAACCTTGACAATCAGGTTATGTTCTGGAGCATGAGATCATATTGCCCTTCTGTCCTGCAGGTTGAATTAGATCCTTGGTGACCCCTGTACAGACCTGTTGCTTTCAGTGAGGATGCACCGGTGTAACTGATTAGCAACTTAATAACAGTTTTATTGGTGAGGCACAAGATGGAGACGCGTGCAGCTCTCTCTTCTCTTCGCTGTGCTGGTTCTGCAGAGCTAACAGAAGTAACCAGCAGTAAACACCTATTGTCATCACTAAAATGGGCAGATCTGACTCAGAACACACTGGGAGCAAATTTGTCTATAAGAAGGGGGCAGTTTTACGTAGTCACTCATCAGAGTAGAAATGCACTTTAAAGACAAGCCCCAAAATAAGTGTGTCTGAAATGCTGGTTGCCAGCTGTGTTGCGAATGATGCATAATCAGATCTTGTAGGGCTGCTGTGGAAGCTTGTTTATTTAACAACAAAATTCTTCTTGCAGTTTTCTGTTGCACAGACACCTGTGGTTTACCAAATTAATCCACCATCTGGCGTCCCAGGTAAGGGATCTTCCTTTAAAATGGAGACTGCTTTGATGTTACATATTTTCATCTTCCTGGCAAGGGCTGCCATTTTAGCTGATACACTGGGGATTAAATTAGGCATCTACAGAGCTGAAAGCATGAGCTACGAAGTCAAGGCTCTATAGTTAGTAAGACTCATATTCTCTGGATCGGGCACAGAGAGGATGCTTAGCATGTAGGGTTGCCAGGTGTCTGGTTTTCAACCGTAAAGCCCAGTCAAAAAGGGACCCTGGCGGCTCCCGTTGACACCGCCAACCGGGCTGTTAAAAGTCCGATCGGTGGCACAGCCAGGACCTGGGGCGAAGGCAGGCTCCCTACCTGCCCTGGCTCCACGTGGCTCCAGGAAGCGGCCACCAGGTCCTTGCGGCCTCTAGGCACTGGGGCAGCCAGGGAGGATCCATGCACTGCCTCCTCACTCAGGACCGGCTCCGCAGCTCCCATTGACTGGAAACCATGACCAATGGGAGCTGTGGGGAGTGGGGCCTGCGGGCACAAAGGCAGCGCTCACCGCGCAGAGCCACCTGGCCACCCATGCGCCTGGAGGCTGCAGGGACCTGGCGGCCACTTCCTCAGAGCCGCGATAAATGCTGCCAGGACCACCGCGCACCCTGGAGCCCTCAGCCCCCTGGCTCCCCAACTCCCTGGTCAAGCCCAGAGCCCTGTCCTGCATCCCTGGCCCCACATCCAGCTGGAGCCCTCACCCCTCCCCTCGCATCCCCAACTCCCTGCCCCACCCCAGAGCCCACACCCCCTCCCACACTCCGAACCCCTCAGCCCCAGCCCCAACCCAGAGCCTGCAGCCCCAGCCAGAGCCTGCCCACCCGCCTTCCCTCCCCAACCTCCTGCCCTGACCCGGTGAAAGTGAGTGAGCGTGGGGAAGAACGAGCGATGGAGGGAAGGGGGATGGAGCGAGTGGGGGCGGGGCCTTGGAGGAGGGGTAGAGCATGGGTGGGGCCTCAGAAAGGGCAACGCAGGGGGCGGAGTGGGGGTGTTCAGTTTTGTGTGGTTAGAAAGTTGGCAATCCTAGTAGCATGCAGTGACTAGTGGGTAACACTTGCATTTGGTGTCTGTAGGAGTGGGGCACTTGACTGCCTTTGCACAAGGCTATTTGAGTAGGAGGATGTTGTAGAACAATAGTGATGCCTTGGTTATCTGTATTTCTGGTGATCTCCTGGCTCCTTTTTTTTGGGGGGGGGGTAATTACTTTTAAAGGGATTAAAGTCCTAGGTCCTGATTCTGCAACCCCATTCAAACCGCTGCACCCACAGAGTCTCACTAACTTCAAAGGGGCTTTGCGTGAGCAGATCTGGATCGGGGCCTCAAACAGCAAAAAAAAAATTGGTAGACAAAGCCCAAGCCTGGTTCTGTGAGAGTCAAGCAGGAGGAAGTAAACACTTGTATAGGACTTCAGATCAGAATAGATGCTTGTCTGTTTCAGGTGTCTGACTTTCTCTTTTGGCATGTGTATCTCACTGGTGGTTTGTCTGACAGTGAGCTATGGATTCAGGGACTTGGTCTCTTTGTGCCATAATTCCACTGACATTTTTGAGCTACTTTGGAAGATCATCTAAGTATAATTTACCGTTTTGGACTTTGAAGTGCTTTGAAAGCAAGTGTCCTAGGGCTCAATTAACAAAGGTATTTAGGTGCTGAAAGATGCAGATAAGCACCTAATGAGATTTTAAAAAGCACCTACACAGATTAGGTGCTTAATTTCCATTTAAAGTCAATGGAAATTAGGCACCTAACTCACTTAGGTGCTTTTGTAAATCCTACTAGGCACCTATTTGCATCTTTAGGCACTGAAATTTCTTTGTCAACCTGGCCCCTAGTGTCTGTGTGTTCTTTTATTTGAATGTATTTTATTTGAGCTGGGATTTTGAAAGTTAAATGTCCAAGTCTCAGGGCAATTTAGTGGAAATTGAGCTCCTGACTCCCCTAGGCGCCTCTAAAAATCTCTCTAAACACACAAAGTCCAGTTCCAGTGATCCTTCACTGTCGGGATCTGTGTTGGATGTCAGACCCTGTACCTGTTCTAATGACTGCAGCTGTGTTGTGGTGAGTCACCCCGCCTCCAAAGTCTATTTCCTCCAGTGTGTGAACCCTGCACTGCCTCCTCTCCCATCGTTTTTATAGAATAAGTTGCTGCTGAGAACATCAGAAGCCTGCTCTTAGAATCACAGAAGATTTGGGTTGGAAGAGACCTCAGGAGGTCATCTAGTCCAACCCCCTGCTCAAAGCAGAAATTGCTCTTCAGCAATTTCTTTCCACACCATTCCGCTTGCTTCATTGAAAAGTCCTTGAAGTTACCAATCAAAAGCCAGGGGAGAAGAGGAGTAAATGTAGTTAGGGTCATATTGATACAAGAAGTTAACAATCCTGTCCTCTTGCAATTTATATCTATTGCAAAGTTAAACAGCCGGCTGGCCCCCAGGGAACAAAAGCCAGATTCTGACCCCTTGAGCTGACCCTGCCCTTTGCAGAAGTTCAGGGCTTTGATGAGCCACGCTTCACCAATGCGTGATGCAAAACGTACTTACCTGGCCCAGGTCTACTGGCGCTGACCTCTGTGAGGTAACGGGGAGGCAGTGTTGTCTCGTTCAGAGCAGAGGACTGACCATCAGGACTCCTGGGTTTTATTTGCAGCTCTTCCGTAGACTTTCTGGGTGGCCTTGTGCAGGTCATTTAGGGACAGATTTCTAAAAGTGTTTAGATCGCTAAAGATGCAGAAAGGAGCCTACTGGGATTTTCAAAAGTGTCTAGTGCCTAAATCTCATTGATTTAATTTAGAGTTAAACACCCAGACACAGATTCTCAAAGGCCCTTAGACTTCCAACTTCCACTGAAATCAATAGATGTTCAGAACCTAAATACCTTTGAGGATCTGGGCCCTGGACACTTGAAAATCCAACTTGGTGCCTAAATTCCTTTAAAAATCTGTCCTTTAACCTCTTTTTGCCTCAGTTCAATCACCTGTCCAATAGGGATAACCGTGTTTTCCAGCTCATAATTCATATGCGTGGTGATAAATTCTGATCTGAGTTGCACCAGTGTAAAAGTGAAATGTGCCCACTGAAATCAATGGTGTTTATCTGGAGTTAAGGGCAAAGAGAGTAGATTTTGACCCACTGACTTTTGTTGTGGGTTTTTACCTATTCAGTCTCAGTACTGCATTAACGGCCCCAATTCAATGGAGTGCTAAAGAACATGCCTAATTTTAATCCTGCAGATAGTCTAATGGAAATTAACATGCCTAATGGGAAGCAGGGGTTAAATGCTTTCCTGAATAATGATGGGGCTACTCATCAGCTCAAAGTTAAGCATGTGGTTAAGTGCTCAGCTGACTCAGGTCTGTAATTAACATAAAAGCACAATCTCGGGTCTCCAAAATAAAAAAACAATGTCCGAAAGATGCCGTTTGGCTAACTGAAATGATTCGGCAGGAAAGCTGGCCAGGTAATTCTACACTTTTTTAAAAAACAATGAAAAAAGTAGAGGAACTTTTTTTTTTTTTATTTTGTCAAAAATTGTTGGTGTCTGTTGGAAAAACCAGAAATTGGAATTCTCTTTTTAGTACCAAAAATGAGTTTCCAGTTAAGTGAGTGAAATAGTTGACTCCTGTTGACTGTCAGTGGGAGCTGCCGGCCTAAGGACTTTTGTAGGTCCCACTAGGCACCTGTATTGTTTCCTTGTGCTCCTCTGTCTTTATCCATCTGCTGTCTCTCTTGTCTTTTTTTAGATTGTAAGCTCATCGGGGGAGGGACTGTCTCTTGTTCTGTGTTTGTACAGTGCCTAGCACAGTGGGCCATGACTGGGGACTTCTAGGGACTCTGGTAATACAAATAATAATAATTATTAAATACCCCTTAGTAAATCTGGCCCTTAACCCCCACTTTGCCAGCTGCCTTACTCCACAAACATTAGCATGCTGTTTTAAAAATAATCCCTTTATTTTATTTCTCATTTAAACAGGAAACGTAATACAAGTCTGTGGGCAGATCATTGCTGGAAAATACGAAACCATGGACTTTAACGCTGACTATATTGATGGGTAATTACATATATTAATGTTCTGGCTCTGTCCATGTGATTGGTTTTTTTGGGCATTTCTTCGATCAGCCTCCTTGACAGCAATAAATTGCAACCAGTTGGCACAGAGCTGTTGGTTTCCTCTTGTTGTGGTTTATTGCAGCTCACGAGTTGGGCTCCAGCAAACTTTGTTAATCTAATTGCAACTGGTCCATTAAGCTAGTCCGTTGATTGAGCGTCTGCACAGTCAATTGTGGCTCAGTGTGAATTGTACTGTAATTGCATCTGGATGCTGGAGGTTTTATTTGGGTTAAGAGATTAAAAGAAACTAATTTCAAATGTAGAAAACTACAAGTTAATAAATTTACTCTTCCAATTGCATTTTTAGAAATTCTATTCGCTTGGTTGGGGAGAGTAATTTTCACGGCAAATGTAAAGTTAAAGCAGAGCTCTTAAGAAACAGTGGGCCAAATCCTCAAAGGTATTTAGACTCCTAACTTCCATTGAAATCTCTGGAAGATAGATGCCTAAATACCCTGGAGGCTCTGGGCTGTGTGCCTGACTCTCTGCTGCCTCGAGCTTCATAGAGTCACTTGCACTTCCACAGAGTGGCAACCTGGTTTTCCATTGCCCTGTTGCTTAAGTGGTCATTTACACCAGGGTCAGGTGGGTGTAAAATGCCACCATTCTGAATTCCCATTGGTGTAAATGGTCACACAAGGTGGAGGGTAACAGAGGTCCAGCGAGTTCAAAGTGGGGATAAAATGCGACCACTAGGCTAAGTGACTGGCGGATTCTGAACTGGCATGTGTAGACATGGTTGTGCAAGGCTGTGGAGAATCAGGGCCCAGAGGGTCTACAGTTACTTTAAAGTATTTGGTCATGCAGCAATTTACGTGACGAGAAGGGTAATCAGACCTCATGCTTCAAGAATTTCACTGCTCAGCCGAGAGGTCAGGAAGAAATATTCTCCCATTGCACGTTTGCCTAGGGTGTTTTATTCACCAGTCTCTGAAGCAACAGACTTTTGCTGCAGGGGAGGCAGCATTCTGGTGGGTCGCAGGTAAATTCTCCAGTTAGGGAACTCAGACGATATAAATCATAAGTAAGGCGAGGGTTTAATCATGGGCATTTATGGTATAAGTCATGGACAGGTCACGGGCAAGAAACAAAAAATCATGGCTCGTGGCCTGTCCATGACTTATACCATAAATACCCCTGATTGGACCTTAGGCGGGGGTGCTGATGGGGGGAGCCGCTGCAGAAGGGACAGCGGCTGCTCTGGCCACTGCTGTGCGGGGAGCCGGGCAGCAGCTGCTCTGGCTGCTGCTGCGGAGACGTCTCGGGGGGCAGGTGGCTGCTTCAGCCACTGCTGGGGGGATCCCTGGGAGCCCAGGAGCTGCCCAGGAGCTCTGGCCACCACCGGGGTGGGGGAGCCCTGGGGGGGCCAGCAGCTGCTCCAGCCACCTCGGGACCGCTGCCAGGAGCTGCTGAACTGCGGCAGCTCTGGCCACCCCCAGGACCGCTGCTCAGGCAGTCACCAGGGCCAGGGTGGCGGCCGGCTGCGGGGCCACCCGAGCAGCTGGCTGCAGAGCCGCTCCAGCAACGGCTAGCTTGGCTGTCTCCCAGGTCACCTGAGCAGCTAGCCCCAGTGTCAGCCGCGCTGGCCGCTGCAGAAGTCACAGAGGTCGCAGGAAGTCATGAAATCACGACCTCCATGACACAGAGTCCTAATCATAAGTCAGTAGAGCTGCACTGATTTACACCAGCTGATTCAGAGTCAACAACCCTAGCCTCGGGATACTGATTAACATCCTGCATTCAGTACCAGTTATTGTTTCACCCATCTTCAATGGGAACTACAAGTGCTGTGGTTAATGAAATGGAAAGTTGGAATGTGTTTCAGTGAAGCTTTGGTGTGTTGGTATCCTCCACTGAAATGCTGGTTTCGTTTATTTACAATATAACCTCAAAACACTGGTGAGCATACTTGAGAAAATTCAACGGACTGAATAGATTCAGCCTATAGTTTTATAGGACCGCTATGCTCACCTTTAGTGAATATGTGCAGCGACTGGAGCAGGATTTCACATGAGCTCTTGCCTCATTCATGTGGATCTTGTAAAATGCCCAGTGAATGAGGCTAGGGCTCCTTAGGTTTGCAAGAGTTGTGCACGTTTCATAAGGTGTATGGGACACAGCTTTCCAGGGTTGTCAAGTCAAATAGTTCCAAAATATGGAATTTATTTTTTCACCGAAGCCAGTGGACGTTTTGCCAGTGACTTCAGTCAGTCCAGAATTTCACCCTTGAGCTTAATGGCGTCCCCTAATGTCACATCTTTCCTGTTTGTTTCCTATCTAGCCCTGTTATCCTCGAGGCGGAAGGAGATGGATGGATCAGCCTCTGTTCTTTTGCCAACAAGCAAACGAGAAGCATGTTAGTTTGTGATCTTCCTTTTTGCTTTGGGTTGTAGCTAATTTCATATTGCTGTGACATCTCCATATGATTGATTGTAGAGGATCGTCTGTCCATCTCGGTTATGATAACAACAGGCAGGTGCTTTGTCACAGTTTCGAGGGGCTCTTGAAAAGTCAGCTCATTGGGTAAACTGTTGGAGTGCATGGGGTTCTAGATGGTTGATTTTCATAGAAATGTAGGGCTGGAAGGGAGCTCGAAGTCACTGAGTCCAGCCCCCTGCAGTGAGGCAAGACCAAGTAAACCTAGACTGTCCCTGACAGGTGTTTGTCCAACTGTTCTGAAAAACCTCCAATAATGGGTATTCCACAACCTCCCATGGAAGCCTATTCCAGAGCTTAACTACCCTCATAGTTAGAATGTTTTCTCTAATTTCTAAACTAAATCTCCCTTGCTGCAGAATAAGTGGATTACTACTTCTTCTACCTTCAGTGAACAGAGAGCAATGAATCACACTCCTCTTTTACAGCAGCCCTTAACATATTTAAAGACTGTTATCGGCTCCCCTCTGTCTTCTTTTCTCAAAACTAAACATGCCCAGTGTTTTTTGTTTGTTTGTTTTTGTTTTTTTAACTTTTTGGTCAGGTTTTCTAAACATTTTATCAGTTTTGCTGCTCTCCTCTGGACTCTCTCCGGTTTGTCCACATCTTTCCTGAAGCATAGCACCCAGAACTGGACACGGTACTCCAGTGAGGTCTCCTCATTGCTGAGTGGAACTGGACAATTACTTCTTGTGTCTTTCTTACAACACTCCTGTTACTACACTCCTTTTTCACAACTGCATTTCATCATTGACTCATTCAATTTGTGATCCACTATAGCCACGAGATCCTTTACAGCAGTACTCCCACCTAACCTCTTATCCCTCTTATTTTGTAGTTGTGCATTTGATCTTTCCTTCCTAAGTGCAGAACTTTGCCCTGGCCTTTATTACATTTCATCTTTTTCGTTGTTTGCCTGCATCTTGTTAGATTACCACAGTCAGGGGAGGTTTTAGGTTCCTGGTTCTCTTGCATCCTGTTAGGCAACAACATAGTTATTAGAGCTGCTTGGAAAACTGAATTTATGTTCTGCGGGAAATTCTGCCGTTTCAAAATTTTGTTTTGGTTCCAAATGGGAACAAAAAGTTAAAATTCCTTATGGAACAGAAATTCAGAAAAAATTAGATTCAGAAACATTGGATCATTTTGATAGTGTCAAAATAGTATAATATGAAACACCGAATACAATACATCTAATCATAAAAGCAGTATATGTATAAATATATTTAAATCAATAATTTAATCTAATATCAAAGTTGAAACAATGAGAGTCAAAACAACTTGTTTTAAGAATTTTTCCAGTGAACAACTTGTTGAAAGGAGTAATGGTCTCAAGTTGCAGTGGGGGAGGTTTAGGTTGGATATTAGGCAAAACTTTTTCATTAGGAGGGTGGTAAAGCACTGGAATGCGTTACCTAGGGAGGTGGTGGAATCTCCTTCCTTTGAGGTTTTTAAGGTCAGGCTTGACAAAGCCCTGGCTGGGATGATTTAGTTGGGGATTGGCCCTGCTTTGAGCAGGGGGTTGGACTAGATGACCTCCTGAGGTCCCTTCCAACCCTGATATTCTATGAAATTGTCTCTTTTCCACAAAACATTTTGTTTTTGATGATACTGGGTCTTCGGGTGGAAAATTGGTCCATCAAAAATTTGTCCCTTGGCTTTAATCATTGCCAACCTGAGTATAAGTGGCATGCTAGGAAATGTGCACTGAACAAAAGACAAGAGACTGATTCCATAGTCCTTGTTAAGTGTCAGGGACTGGGATGTGGGAGATCTGACCTAGTGGTTCGAGCTGGAGCCTGGCCTCGTGGTTAAAGCCAGGAACAGGCTTTAACCACTAGGCCAAGGGTCAGAGCGGAGACTGGCCAAGGGTCAGAGCTGAGTCAGGAGCCAAGCAGGGGAGTGGGATAGGAGAATGCAGCTGTCTGTGTAAGCGTTGAGCAGCCAACAACCTGCCGCTGCTGCTGAGCTTAAATGCAGACCTGTGGGCTGCCGGCAGCCAGTTGGGCAGGCCTGCCAATCAGGCAGTTCTGCTCCAGCCCCACTGGCCTCATTAAATGGCCTGAGGGCTGAGCAGGCTAGCCGCAGGCTCAGCTGAGGGAACTCAAGCCCATAGTTCCTGACAGCTAAGGTCCTTTTATGCCATGGGAGTGGGCCAGCATAGCTGCCTTTGCACTGCCCACTCCACCCCAGTGTAGGAGGCGTATTAGGAATGCGCAGGGGGAAAGCAGAGGGTAGAGCTAGAATGCACAGCACTCTCCAGGATGCTTTGGCTGGCAGAACAGACCCACCCTACTGGCACCCGTGAGACCAGTGGATCTCAGGGTCAGCGGAGCTAATAGAATGGCTTAGGCCTTATTGCTGTTGGGATTTTAGCTGCGGATAGTCGCCCCCAATGCAAAGCCCCAGCATTGGAAGCAGCTACACAGCATGGTTTAAACCCCCCTTTCCCCATGTGGGTTAAATTGGGGCCAGCTGCACCAATAGAGATTGTAGACAAGATCTCCACCAACGCAGCACACCAGGGCTTGCACTGGTGCGGCGACACTAGTGGCTAAGCTCCCAGTGTAGACAATGTCAGCTGTGCATGAGTTCATTGCAGATGAGGATCGGGCGCTTGACTCTTCTAAGTGACACAGAGGGTGGAAGTATCATCACTCACTTTAAATACAGGTGTAAGTGACTAAGTGCAGTGTAACAGGAAAGCTGCCAGAGTGGATCTTCATGGGGGGGAAGTTTTCATGCCCCCGGGACAGCAGCTCCTGGCAGTGGCATTCCTGTTTGCGTTACTTATTTAGCCAAATATAAACTATCTCAGTTCCCTTAAATCATAAATTCCTTCTCCGCTGCTGATGAAAAGGTCCTTGTTTAAAATATGGGAGTGGCAGGGCCAAACTGCTAAGGGTTTAAGCAGTTTGTCAACTTACTGTTTAAACTTTTACAAACCTACCCTTGGCATCATTGATTTTTTTCAAAGCAGTTTCAACATTAACAACATTCTTAGCTTGCCTGCTAGCAATCTATAACCACCCCTCTGAGAGAGAACTGTTCTGGTAATACTCCTCTCTTCTTTGAAAGACACACAGGACCTGATTCTCAGTTTCTCCATTTCTGTGGTTTGGGGTGGGGGGAATAATCCGAGTCTGCCTCCTCCTGAGCACCCCCTTGTGGTCAGGGGTGTTGCAGCTTCCTACCTCTGTTTTCCTCTTCAGGACTCCTTAATAAATTGTGCATACAGGCAATCCACCCCTCCATAGGGGCTGGGTTTATCAAGATCAAAGTTCAGAACAAAACTCGAAGTCCCAAAATAAAATCTACAAAGTTCAACTCAATTCCCTGCTTTCAGCAGGCAACTCCCAGCCCTTCCTAGCTGGAACGTTCCCCCCTTCTTCCCTGGAGTCCGCTTTCTCTGGCCTTCAGCTATCTTCAGCCCTCTGACTTCCTGGCCCAAACCCTTCCCCGATCAAGGGTCTTCTTCAGAAGTCTTCTGGTCTCTGTCACAGTTTCCTGTTTCCCTTTGTTTTCTCAAAAAGAAAAGGAGTACTTGTGGCACCTTAGAGACTAACCAATTTATTTGAGCATAAGCTTTCGTGAGCTACAGCTCACTTCATCGGATGCATTAAAGTGAGCTGTAGCTCACGAAAGCTTATGCTCAAATAAATTGGTTAGTCTCTAAGGTGCCACAAGTACTCCTTTTCTTTTTGCGGATACAGACTAACACGGCTGCTGCTCTGAAACCTTTGTTTTCTGTTTCCCTTTGGCTCTTTAGAGGCATCAGTTGCTGTCTATCAGGCCCCATTTAGGGGCCATTAATGAGGCACCATTGGGCTGGGGGCTCCTTAAAGAGGCCCAGTCCACATTGTGACAGGGGACAAAGTCCACCTTTAAGCCATTGTTGCATTTCTCATACCTTGGGGCCATAGAGTGTATGTCTACACTACAGAGTAAGCCCAGAGTCAGTAGAATTCAAGTTAGTGGACAGGTTTGTTAACCTAGGGCTTGAGCATCTACACTTAGTGGTAGCCCCAGGTTAGGACTTGTTGAATCCTGGGTCTCCAGTGTCTACACTGCATTATGCAGGCCCAAGTCCAACCACCCACATCCCAGACTTTCTATTGCTAGAAGTCCAGTGGGGCTGCGTCTATACTGCACAGCAATAAGGCTTGAGTCCCGGTTCCCAGCTTGACTCCGGCTCGGAACCTCCAGCCCTGTAGGGTCCTGGGACCCTGAGTCCGAGCTTTGGGTTAGCGTAATTTGTGTGCAGATGGAAGAGGGTTGAGGTTTGAACTCTGGGCTTACTTTGCAGTGTAGACATGCCCAGAAAGGTCTGGCCAGTAGCTAGTCTGCATCACAGCAACCTCAGGACTGAACCTCTTCCTTACATCCTTCCTCCTACGCACCTTCTCCAGTGACCCAGTCTTGTGAGATGCTGTTTGCCTTCACCTCCCATTTAAGCTGAGGGTCCAAGCATCCTTCCAGTATCAGGATCAAGCCCTGGGACTCGGGACAAGCTGTGTTTTGTTTGGAATGGTATGGCTGTGTTTTCCTTGTGTTCCCTTTCCTTTCTAAAGGCTTCACAATTTCGCTGTCTCTTTACAGCTATCCCATTCAGATGGATCATGGAACAGGGACCTTACAGTGCCATATCGAAGGCAGCTATATCGGTCAGTGGAAAGAGAACATGTACACCTACAATTCTGGTCTCTGCCTCGAAAGGTGGCATGATTAATGAAATACCCCCCTGGGTGTACAGCTGTCCAATCGGAAACCCAGGGTCTGGAGCAAGTCCCTGGAACACTTCTGCCCTTTCTGACTCTGGTCTTATGATTGTAACCTAATGACTTATTTATTGTAAACATTTCCCTCCCTCACCCATTTTTTGACCTTCACCTTTCTTTACATGATAACTTTCCTCCTCATATCTAAGTGGAGGCGCACAAGAATGAGTTGTCCCCAGCTATGTACTTTTACGGCCCTGTCCCTGGAGTAGCTGAGTTTTGATGGTGTTTGTGGGCTCAGTGTGTCACTTGCTCATTGGTTCACATCACTGTGTTACTAGGGCTGTGAAGGTGCCCCTTCTGCTATGCTTGTCATCTGAGTTGTAGGCCTTTGATACAGGCCATTCCTAGGAGAATAGGTGTGTGTGTGGGGGGGAAGCTGCCTCATATGATTACCAATGTGTAAGGGTTTGCCCTGGTGGAAGCCCAGAGTTATTTAGGTCTGGTGGCTAAGCCACTGAACTGGGATTCTAGAGACCTGGCTTGGATACTGACCTGCTAGCAGGCTGTGGGCAGTCACTTTGAGTGATATTTTCAAAAGTGCTTCAGTCCTGTTTTCAAAAGTGACTTGGGAGCCAAAATCCCACTGACTTTCAGTGAGACTTAAACTTCCTAAGAGCCTTAGTCATGTTTGAAAACAGGACTTAGAGGCTTTTGAGAAGATTACTCTGAAGCTTTCTGTGTGCCTCATTTCCCCTGACTCTGTTTTGAATGTTTAGATTGTAAAATGCGACAGCGACTGGCTCAACGGGGTCCTGATCTCAGTTGGGGTCTCTAGGTGCTCCCATAATAATAATGTGGCAGGCTCCGCTGTCAGCTGGAGACTGTGCAATCTGGTTTTGGTGTGACCACTCCATTGGGGTTTTTGGGGTGTGGTTCTCGAGCTTCTGTGCCATCTCATAGCATAACTAGTTGATGCACTTTGTCCTCTTGCAGTAAATCAGAATAGCTCCCCTGAAGTCAATGGAGATACACCGGAGTAAAGTCAGTGAAGAAAGGAGAATCAGGCCCTTAGTGTAGATCCTAGTCTGGTGTGCTTTTTCTACGGACTCCCCCATGTTCCTGCATTAACTGTGTGTGTTTTCTCTTCCAACAGGTTCGCAGAACGTTAGCTTTTCAGTGTTCAACAAAGGAAGGTGAGTAACTGAAACGCTGCCTCGTTCATCTGTGGTTTCCTATGGTAGCACCGCTGCATTTCTGGGTCCAGAAAGAGGACCTGGATACGTTTAATAGAACTTGCATATACATACCTAGCCATGGCCCTTTGCTGTCTCAACGGGATGAACTGATCATCATTGCAATAAGAAGAAAGTTCCCTAGAGACTATCGAAAGGATCTGGGGGTCTCCTTGCCATTGTTTAAGTGCACAGAACAGGGGTATCCATTAGATACAGATGGGCATAATTCCCTATCACCACTCTTCTACATGTGCAGGGTGGCTGAGTGACTTGTGGACATTTATTTCTCTTAGATGGGCCAAAACCAGAACTTCAGTTGTGAATGTTAGGGGTGGAGAAGGAGGAAGGGGTTGGTTCTGGTCCAAATGCAGTGTCAGAAGGGGTGTCTGGCAGCTGATGCCCAGTGAGATTTCTATGCGGGTTTTGCTTTACACAGCAGAAGAGCCTTGCTCCCAGTGGCTTGATTATCAGTGCTGTTCATTGTCCTTGCTCATGAATCAGTTGTTTGGACAAAAAAGTCAACCGGAGATCTCTGAGCTGTGGGTAGAAATCAGCGTATGCATTGTGGCAGCTTCCTTATTAACTGCTGGGTTCGACTTCTGACTCTGTCACGGATTTCCTCGGTGAGCAGATGTAACACCAACAGATCCCGGTCGCCAGCAGATGGGACCAAACCTGGGACCCCTGGAGCTTAATGCATGAGCTAAAGGACACATTTCTCTTAGCCAAGGCTGTAGCAGACTCATCAATCTCTGTCTGGTCTAGCTGCCACTAGAGGGGGACAGAGTACCACACCAAGCAGGCACAGGTTACACCTGGGCTAGTCACTTAATCGCGCTGTACTCGTTTTCTCTACCTCACCATGGTGTTGAGACTTAATGCTTATAAAGGGCCCCCACAACTCCAACAGGTGGTGCAGGGAGTGTTGTCCAGGGTCGAAGGCACTTCGCATAGAATCATAGAATATCAGAGTTGGAAGGGACCTCAGGAGGTCATCTAGTTCAACCCCCTCTATGCAAAGGCTAGGGACAGTCTCTGCACTTTCCTTTTCCTTCTATGTGTCTCCAAGACTGCAAGCTGCCCCAGAGGGTGTGGGAACAAGGTGCACCATGACCTACACCCCCCACGTACAAACTGTGGCAGGGGAATATGCTTGTCTATTCAAAAGGATGATACAGTCTGTGTGTAACCCACTGGTCTAGTATGTGATAGGTCTTCCCACGCCATGCCCAATTCACTGAGGAAATGAGTCTGTCCCAGGTATCAACTCTGGAATCTAGCTTTTTAGCTCAACCTGTAGAGACTCATCTGTTCAGTGCTGGAGTTAGTTGGTTGAATTCCTGACGTTGGCCAGCATGGTTTGCTATCCATTCTGCACTTGCTGGAACTCTGGGAGGCACATATTGGGTATGGTGACTCCATCCGTAAGCCAGTGGTTAAATGCTACCATCTATCCCACAATACACTTTGGTTAGAGCTGGTTGGAAAACCGAAATTTTCCCTGCTGAGTTTTCTGTGAGAAAAATCACTGAAAATTTGACTGCAAAATGTTGGGTTTTGGGAACTTTTTTGTTTCTTTTGACTTGGAATGTCACGTTTCATTTTTTTGGACACCAAAAACATTTCAATTTTCCATTTTTGTATTTTAATCCCTCCTCCTTCTCTCCCTTCTTTTAATTTTCTACCCTTTCCAACTGAAACAAAAGGGAAAAGGCAAAGTATCTGAAAGTGGGGAAAACCCCCCTTTTTACTGTTACACACTTGCAAAAAGTAGGAAAACCTGTAAGAAAGTATGAGATAGTAGATTTTGATTTCAACAAAACTGCCTTTGATGATGGAAAAATTTTTCAGTTGAAGAATTTTGACCAGCTCTAATTCGGATGCTTGAATGAATGCTGCAATATTGATAGTAGCCTTCAACTACCTGAAGGGGGGTTCCAAAGAGGATGGAGCTAGGCTGTTCTCAGTGGTGGCAGATGACAGAACAAGGAGCAATGGTCTCAAGTTGCAGTGGGGGAGGTCTAGGTTGGATATTTGGAAACATTATTTCACTAGGAGGGTGGTAAAGCAATGGAATGGGTTACCTAGGGAGGTGGTGGAACCTCCATCCTTGGAGGTTTTTAAGGCCCGGCTTGACAAAGCCTTGGCTAGGATGATTTAGTTGGGGTTGGCCCTGCTTTGAGCAGGGGATTGAACTAGATGAGCTCCTGAGGTCTCTTCCAACCCTAATCTTCTATGATTCTATATATGGGTGAAAAGTAGCATTTGTTATCCTAGAATAACTGTGTTCTCCTGTGTTTATTCTGAGATGTTCCGTTCAGCTTCCCTGGTACTGTGGGGAGATCCATCCTCAGCTCAAAAAGAAAAGGAGTACTTGTGGCACCTTAGAGACTAACCAATTTATTTGAGCATGAGCTTTCGTGAGCTACAGCTCACTTCATCAGATGCATACCGTGGAAACTGCAGCAGACTTTATATATACACAGAGAATATGAAACAATACCTCCTCCCACCCCACTGTCCTGCTGGTAATAGCTTATCTAAAGTGATCAACAGGTGGGCCATTTCCAGCACAAATCCAGGTTTTCTCACCCTCCACCCCCCCACACAAATTCACTCTCCTGCTGGTGCTAGCCCATCCAAAGTGACAACTCTTTACATAATCAAGTCGGGCTATTTCCTGCATAAATCCAGGTTTTCTCACATCCCCCCCACCCCCATACACACACAAACTCACTCTCCTGCTGGTAATAGCTCATCTAAACTGACCACTCTGCAAGTTTAAATCCAAGTTAAACCAGAACATCTGGGGGGGGGTAGGTTTGTGTGGGGGGGTGGAGGGTGAGAAAACCTGGATTTGTGCTGGAAATGGCCCACCTGTTGATCACTTTAGATAAGCTATTACCAGCAGGACAGTGGGGTGGGAGGAGGTATTGTTTCATATTCTCTGTGTATATATAAAGTCTGCTGCAGTTTCCACGGTATGCATCTGATGAAGTGAGCTGTAGCTCACGAAAGCTCATGCTCAAATAAATTGGTTAGTCGCTAAGGTGCCACAAGTACTCCTTTTCTTTTTGCGAATACAGACTAACACGGCTGTTCCTCTGAATCCTCAGCTCAGATTCCAAGGAGTTTCACAGGCCTTTCTCTCATGTTGCAGGTCGATGGTACGCAAGGATGCTTGGCTCATCAGTGCCAAACAGGAGCTTTTCTTATATCAAACATTCTCAGGTGCTGTTCGCTGCTTCCCCGATGACTGCCCTGTCCTATGACAAGTCCAAAGAGGCCTATGAAGAAAATCTTTCTACTATTCTTCCCAATGTTACTGTGCCTTCAATCCTTGTGTGCATTTCCCTTTGGATTCAGTGGGAGTTGCTCTCGTGTAGACAGAGAGCCCAAAAAGGACCTCAGGATGAGATACAAAATCTAGCCCTCTATCTTTTTATGAGCTAAGGTTGGGAAGTGTCCAGATTTCCCCTCTCTTCCTGCTTTCATTGCATGCTGAACTGAATGCCCCTCAAGAGAGGCCTTATCACTCAGGGTGCGTCTACGCTGCAGTAAAACAGCCATGGGGGGCCTGATTCAGCTGGCTCGGGCTCGCAGGGCTCAGGCTGCAGGGCTGTGAAATTGCAGGGTAGACCTTGGGGCTCGGGCTTAACCCCGGGCTCTGAAACCCTCTCCCCTTGTGGGGCTTCAGAACCCAGGCTCCAGCCCCAGCCCGAACTGCTATTTTTAGTGTGCTAGAACAAGCAGAGCTAGCCCACGTCTGTCTGCCCACGCTGGGAAGCCCCCCTCGTGTAGACGTACCCTTTGTCTCCAGCTTCCGGGTGTGGGTGGCTCTGAAATCTCGAAAGGGTATTGAGCGAGTGAACCCTAACAACAGGAGAATCAGCAGGTCTGGAAATGGGATGGTGATCAAGCAACCCCACTATTTCTCCTGCCAGACCTACACTATGTGCCTGACCCCGCTCTGCCCCCTCAAATCCTCCTGAAGTTGGTGGGAGTTGAGGTCTTTGACATGCAGGGGGCTTTGGATAGGATGAATCAGCTGAAAATTACTTTGTCCCCATCCCCTAGCTGACTGTATTGTATCTCTTGAGTTTCAGTGTGAGAGTCAAGAGTTCTGAGCAAAGATATATCACAGACTACTGTAGTATTGTCTTGTACTGAGTAAAGCATTGTATTGTATAACAATTGTTTTGTTTCACAATAATTGGCATGCAATTTCCAGCTCTCTAGACAATAGAAAATTAAATCCTCAGTAGCTGCTGTCAATGATCTTTAAGAAGAATCTGGGTCTAAAACTCAAAGTACAACCACAGGTCTAAGTTTCATGGACCATAAAGCACTTGGCTTTGATTGCTAACAAAGATAGAACGAGGCTAGAAAAGACCATTTGGCTCATCTAGTCTGAACAGGTTTCAGGGCTTGCCTGCTCTATCTTTCCTATGAAGGCCTGATCTAACCATTGATTGTAGCTACTGTAACTAATGGACTGATGATCTGTGATGTGCACATGTATAAAGGACTTGGTTCAAAGGATTTAGAGCAGGGATCGGCAACCTTTGGCATGCGGCCTGCCACGGTAAGTCCCTGGAGGGCGGGGCCAGTTTGTTTACTTGCTGCGTCCGCAGGTTCGGCCGATTGCGGTTCCTACTGTCTTTGGTTTGCAGTCCCAGGCCAATGGAGGCTGCAGGAAGGGTGGCCAGCACATCCCTTGGCCCGCGCCGCTTCCCGCAGCCCCCATTGGCCTAGGATGGCGAACCGCGGCCAGAGGGAGCTGTGATCGGCCAAATCTGCGGATGCTGCAGGTAAACAAACCAGCCTGGCCCGCCAAGGGCTTACCATGGCGGGCTGCGTGCCAAAGGTTGCCAATCCCTGATTTAGAGGGACCCTCTTGACGGATGAAAGATTAATATGGTCCTTAAATGGATGGATTAGAAAAATCTGAGACTTGGGAAAGCTAAGGTCATCTCTCCAAATAGCTCATTTTAAGGATTACAAAAGTGTGATTCAGTGTTTAGAATTGCAGTTGCCCCATCTAGCTACAGTACCTGTGTGTGCATGAGAGATGAGGAATGCTAAACAGCCACACTGCCATCTAGTGGAAAAATAACCAGATGGTCCATGCAAACGGAGAGTAGAGGTCAAATCTGAGCATTCACAACTTCCATTTATATCACTGGCAATTGCAGAGGCTCAGCACCTCTCAGGATTTGGCCCTAAACGCTAAGGATTAACAGCATTGTATTCAACTGTTCGAAAGTTCAATTAGAGAGCAAAGGTGGATGAGGTAATATCTCTTATTGGACCAACTTCAAGTGGTGAAAGAGAGAAGCTTTCAAGCTGACACCAAACTCTTCTTCAGGTCTGGGCTCACCCATCTTACCTGTCTCTCATATCCTGGGACCAACATGGCTACAGCAACACTGCTGACAGAAAGTTCACAACAGTCAAATCTGTGGGTTAAATTCAGAGGCAAGCCAAACGGCCTAAAACAGTGGTTCTGAACCAGGGGTACGCAGAGGTCTTCCAGGGGTACATCAAGTCATCTAGATATTTGCCTAGTTTTACAATAGGCTACATAAAAAGCACTAGCAAAGTCAGTACGATGTAAAATTTCATACAGACAAAACGAGAAAATAATAATTTTTTAGTAACAGTGGGCTGTGACACTTTTGTATTTTTGTGTCTGATTTTGTAAGCAAATAGTTTAAGTGAGGTGAAACTTGGGGGTGTGCAAGAAAAATCAGACTCCTAAAAGGGGTACAGTAGTCTGGAAAGGTTGAGAACCACTTGTCAAAAATAGTTTAATTTCACCTGCTTTTGGCCTCCTCGGGATGTGAATTACACCAGCTTGTAAGAGTTGTTATATACCTCCTTAAATTGTCCTTTAGCTGAGCTATACATGTAGGATCAAATTAATTCTGGCTGTAATTCCACTGGTTTCCTGGAAGAATTCGGGCTAGGGATGATTTTGGGCCATTTAGTTTCTCGGAGCCTGCTCCCCCTGAGGTCAGTGCAAGTGTTCCTTTTAATTTTAATGGACGCAGGAGTGGGATGGACCTTTCCGAATGCATGTTAGCGAGGTCCATTCTCTGAGTCTCCTTTTCCTTCCTCTCTAGAGATAGTATCTGTGTTTCCTGTCTCGGGAAGCCTACGAGGAGGAAGTGACCTCACGATCACAGGAGACTTCTTTGACCAGCCCGTGCAGGTCACAGTTGCAGGTAACAATGTACAAATCAGTTTGGGATATTACAGTGACAGAATGAAGACCACAGTCCAAATTCTGCCTTCGATTACACCTGTGCCACCATATTGAATGCCCAGTTGGACACGCGTTCAGAGGACCCAGCTCCCTTAGGGCCTGATTCTCCAATAGCACTTGCTCCAGCAACTCCTACTAAAGTTGAGTCAAAGTCGGTGGGACTCCACGTACAGGTAAGTACCATGGTAGTGGACATAAGAACCATGATACTTGCTGTATGAGAGGCCCTCACTGCTGTGAATTCAAATGAATAACTGGCTAAAGATCTAAGTCCTCTGTTCGGTGTGATGTTGCCCTTGTCTGAAGGTGATGCAGGGGAGCTCTGCTAATCTCTTTCGGAAACAAAGGGCGCTCATCCCTTAAAAAGTTTAGGCCTGGGTTTATGTTCTTCAGTCTCCTTCTGCATATACCCACTTCTCCTTTTCCCACTGCCAGGAGTTCCCTGTGAAATCAAGCACTGTTCTCCCCGGAAGATTAGTTGCACCACTGGACCCATTGATGAGGCCAGAAGACTTGCTGCACCTCAAGCAGGTACAGTATTTCTAAGAGCAAAGGCCCTGCTTGGCAAACTGCTCTGCTGCCATTTGGAAATGGGGTAGAGACTTCATTCTGTGTTTGGTAGTGGGATGGATAAAAACAGGGCTATCCAAAACCTACTGATGTCACATCACATGGGTTTTCAGTAGTAGGGTAGCCTCTTCTGGGTTTGCCGACCAAACTTCGTTTGCTTGGGATTTCTGGGTAACATCTGAACCTAGGAACTCTGGACTAACCCGATGATGCTCCTCAGTTTTGCCCCCAATATTCATGAGTTTGCCCCTCCTGACAAATCTCCTTTATTTCCAGTCTGTTTTCGGATTCCTTTTGGAGCTCCCTGAGGATTCTCCCAATTATTTTTCCTTTTGCTTCAATGTACTGACCATCGCACCTTGGTTGGGGAGTGCTGGAGGCACTATCCTTTGGTACTTTTCTTTATTTGCTGGAGGGGACTCTGTAGATCAAGGCATTGTCTCTCCTGTGTTCCTAGCCTGGAACTAACATTGATCCCATTAATAGGTCCCCAAACATCTCTTTTCAGAGATTATTATCCGGCAATCCATAGACTATGCCTGCAGCTTTTTCATTGTTTTGCTATTCATTCTTTCATGTGCTGTGGACTTTTCATCAGCTGCTGCTGACTAGATTCTTGATATATATATTTTTTTAACTTCCCAGGAAACAGAGGGCTTCTCTTTGAAGTCTGGGATGATGCAGCAGGCACTGATTTAACTGAAGCAGCCCCTGGGTATCGATGGCAGATTGTTCCTAATGCCAGCTCTCCAGAAAGATTTCTCTTTCAGGCACAGCAGTCATTCAGGTATTCCGTGGTCTCAAAGGGAGATGAAAACTTGGCATGCACCTTTAGCAGTGGTAGAAGTAACAATAGCACACACCAGTCCTTTGTAACCAGCTTCATTGCGCAGCTCTGATGATTCCAATCAAATCTTTGCTCAGTACTTGAGTTTTTAGGGCCTTTTGAAATTCAAAAAATGCAATGAAATGTTTTATCCCGTATTTTTCATCGTCACTGAATTGCCCTGCATGGAGAACCCAGAACAGAGTGGTGTAGGAGGAGTTTCTGACTTCCAGGGGTGTGATCCTGGGCCACCAGCTGGCTCGTATTGCTGCACTTCTTGGTTTTTGCCCAGGACTAGAGGCAGAGGTGATGAAATCTCTCAAAGGAGAGTGCTCTTGAGATAGAACCAGCTCAGCCAGAAGCAGAAAGTATTGCATCTGGAGAGGAACTGTGTGCACCACAAGTAAGCATGGAGGGCCAAATCTTCATCTGGTGGGAAGCAGCTTAGCTCCAGGTTAATGGAGCAATACCAGTAGACTCCCGCGGAGGAGCTGGCCCTTAGAAATTTGGGGTGCACGTGAGCTGACCCTTTTGAGATTCGTCCATTGAGAGCTGTGTTTTGTTTTGCAGAAATACAAACTTTTTCACCTTTTCTGACAATTTCACGTGCCTCTCCCTTGAACTTGGGTAGGTTTCTAACTTGAACGCTTTTTCCTACTCAGCAATGGGGATGATTCTGCTTTAAAAAAACAACCCCAGTCTATTTTTACTTCTTTTTCTTGGAAATATTTGTGCGATGTCATAATTTTTTTCCCTGTGAAAACAGGTCAGATTTTGAGTGCCTAAAAACTGGTAAAAGCTCTTGAATTTGAGTACAAATATTTCCCTCTTCCTGTTAATAAATGGGAGAAAGCAGCTGTTTGTCAGGGATTTGGCACTGCTTTTATTGACATGGATATTCTTCTGCTGCCTAGCTCACGACTACGTGGATTCTTTGTGGCACCACAGACAAATAATTACACTTTCTGGATTCAGGCAGATGGCAGGGCTTCCTTGCATCTAAGCCTGTCAGAAGACCCAGGGAAAAAGGTATGTCATTAGGGCAGCAAAAATAGGACGTGCAGGGTATGGAAGAGTTGCATTTACAGTTATCAAGCACTGGGATTTCCCTTCATGCAAGTAGGATTTCTTGGGCCTGATTCTCCAGCTGTTGTGTTGATTTTTTTTCAGTGGCGTTGCCCTAGCATGATGACACTACACAGATCAGCAACAGTGCTGTGAAAGCAAGCTCTGCAACCCCGAATGGTGGGGGAGATGGGCAAAGAGGCAAAGAGGGAACCTCCTGTGCCCGTTGGCTTGAGAGGTGGCAGGAAATCCCACCCCTTCTTCCTGGTGCCCACCCTCTCTGATTTGGAGGATGGGATTGCGATTCAAGAAGGGTTACTGGAGAGAGCATGTGCTGCGGTAGGGACCCAGTGGGCCAGGAGGCAGCCTGTGTGTATGGCTACTATAAGTGTTCACAGCGCATGAGAATCAGCCAGAGCCCAAAGGGATAGGAGACTGCAGGACTGATGCTGGGGGTCACTGAGGTAGTTTGTTTGCTGATAAAGGGGACCGTTGCTGATTTGTTTGTCATTGATAGCAGTGCTGTATTGACTGACTCCTGGGTGAATTCCTGCCTCCCCAAGGCGAGGGGTAGGAGTTTGGAGCGAACTCCCTGCAAGGGGTGCCTCTATCACATACCCCAGCATAACCCAGCAGGGACTCAGGCCCCTTGATTGTCCAGCTTTCCAAATGCTCTCTGCTTGCTGCAGGTTTTCTCTCCCTCTGGCAGAATGGGATGCACTTTGAAAGGTGTTGTAATGCGGATGGGTGGTACATGCTACCCTTATTCTAATTTCAGCTGCAATGTGGGGTCCTTGTCCCATGCCAGGGAATGGTGTTTCAGTGACTCCTTAGACTGTGTCTGATAGGAGGTGGATGGAGTGTTTGGTCGGCGAGTAAAAACGCAGTCACAGTTGGCACCTTTGTTGGCATCTATCTTGAGAGGCCGAGAACCAAATGGGTCTTAGAGACTCAATTATCCTTTCCTCCCTGGAAGCGAGGCTCCTAGCTCAAGATTGAGGTCCTTTGGCAGGTTACGGTCAAGGAAAGAGCAGACTCCAGTCTCCAAGGGCTCTTTGTCTGGTCCCCAGTTACCTTGGAGGGGAAAAGTCTCCCTCTGCTACCCCTGAAGATCTCACTTACCACAAAAGAATGAGTATCAGATTAGCAGGAAGGAGGTTCCTGTGCAAATGAGATGAGCATGCTCAGTGAGAACCAGCTGTTTCCAGAACCCTAAGCATATTCAGTCAGAGCTCGGTGCACGTGCTGTTAATGACAGTCATGTGCCTTCTTTACTGACAAACCTGTCTCTGGAAACAGAAATGCTAGAATTAAGGTTGCCTGTGCAACTTTAATTTAACCCCCTTGTGTGCAAATGCATGATGATACAGTCCTTAATGACGTGATCGTGTACTGTTGTTTTCCCACAGGAATCCTGCCTCAGTCAGTGTCCACTGAATGAGGCGCTATCCAATATTTCGATTTATCCTCCTCATTCAGTGCGTGGCCCCATGCCATTTTTACTGCACTCCATCCGAACCCTGCACTGAATATGGAATTGTTAATTTCCTTAAGGGCTTTTCTATGATGCTGTCATAGCATTTTAGTTCTTCATGTACATTAATGCATTTATTTCTGTAACACTCTCATGAGATGAGGGTATTATTAGCATCGTTTTATACACGGGGAACTGAGGGGCAGAGACAAAAACCCAGTGTCGAATTTGGAAGCTATTGACCTCCGTAGCAGTTGTGAGTGCTCGGCACTTCTGCAGATCAGACCCCAAGTATCTCAAGTTGGGCAACCAGAAACGGCGGATCCCACTTGTTTCACAAGTGGTCACTTGTGGAACATTTTGGCTTAAGAGACTTGCCCAGCACCACACAGGAGCTCTCTGGCACAGGCAGGGATAGACTCCAGTTCTCCAGGGCAGCATTCAACTTAACTCTGAGACCATCCGTCTCTTTCTCCAGTTCCCTGCCTCATTCGCTTTCCAGCTTCTGCAACAAGTGAGGCAGGGGCCCTATGGACAGCAGCCATCTTCACCATGCAGCCTTGATTCATCCCAGCGCACAGTCCATCCTGTGCACTGAATGAGACAGGGGTCCTACGGAAAAATTAGAATGTAATCCTGTAATTAAATTGCTGATCGAGTTTAACTGAAAGTTTAAAAAAAAATCCACCCTGAGACTGACACCCAGCATGAAAAATTTCCACTTGAATGGTTTAAATGAAAATTGGGACTTAAAATTGGGACTGCAGCCTTACCTACAGGTAGTGTTACTTGCGTAGCTTATAATACCTTGGGTTGGGAAAGGGAATTAGCTCACTGGTTTTGTTCCCTCTCGTGATTTTAAGCTGTGGTGCTCTTTTTAGTGTCTTTTTCCTGTTGTCACCTTGAAAGGGCTCCTCCTAACAAACAGCTTCTCTGAGGTGGCCTCCACGGTTACCTCAGATTCCACGGAATTGAGGGGGAAGACTCCATTTCAAATCCAATGAATGAAAGATGCTCGGTTTAGATGATTCCTCATGGGCCACTGTTATTTCTCAACAGGAGTGTAAGGAGAAGACTCAGCAGGGCCTCTATCAAATAAAATCTAGCTCTATTAACCTTCAAATCAGCTTAAAAGTGGAAGCTGACTGTTTCTCACAACACCCATCTGAGACAGGTAGATCACACAACTTCCATTTTACAGAGGAGGAACCTAAGTGACCTATCCAAGGCCACTGGGTGAGTTGTTATAGGGCTGGGGTGAGATATGAGAAATCACCTCTTCTTGGGACTCAGCTCAGACCCCTTGATCACAGCACTCTGTGCTAGACAGGATTTTCCCTTACAAAAAGGAAGGGATGCTGCAGACATCTGCTCAAAGCTGTGAATGTGGTCTGCTTTCTCTTTAGCTAGAGAGAGTGTACCTTTAAATTACAAAGAGGTCAGGTTCATGTATTATTTTGGAGCCAGACACTGCTGTGTAATTGCCTTGTTGCTTTTGTTGATTTGAACGCAGGTGAAAGTTGCCTCTATTCCTGCTGGTGCTTCTGAATGGTCCGAGCGCTGGGAGAAGAACTGGAGCAAGAGTTGGCAGCCAAAATCCCAGAAATTTGAGCTGATTGGTGGCTCAAAGTACTACCTGGAAGCGCTGCATCATGGGAAGGCACCAAGCAGTGGGATGCAAGTTGGGGTTCAACTGCACAACACCTGGCTAAACCCTGATGTGGTGAACACCTATCGCAGAGAGAGGCACGAAATCCGGGCCAGTGCCCACCGGCTTCCAGAGATACAGGTCAGTGCCACATCTGTGATCCTGTGCCTTGAATGCTTCATGAGCTATTTACTCCACTTATTTTTCAGCAAACCCTTATTGTACAGGCCTTGTCTTCACTAGCAAAGAAAAATGGTGTATTTGTTAGTTAAGGCAAGTTAACTGACATGGAGTAAAATCCTAGTGAAGACAAGGCAGTTTGTAGTTTTAACATGAGTTAGCAGATTAGTTTTACCTTGACCTGCTAACATGTGTTAAAACTAGAATTTGATTATATTAGTTAACATAAGGTAGGACCACATCTCTTTTCCTAGCAAACATGGATCTGACGTGTGTCACTTGGGAACTGAATCAACTGATATTCATAATGAGCTAATAAAAAGAGATTTATTATAGGAAAAAGAATTTCTCAGTAGTTAGAGGAACGCTTATTCTAGTGGCTAAAGCAGAAGACTGGGCATTGGGAGCCTGAGGTTCTGGTCCTGGGTCTGCCACTGGTTTGCGTGTGACCCTGGGCAGGTCACTTAACCTCTCTGCCCCAGTAATCTGAGAACCAAGACTTCCAGAGTAAATTGCAACAAATCACATAGAGCGATGGGTGGTTAAAGTGACACTTGTTGTCTTGCAGAGACCGGAAGGGCAGAATACTGCTGATGTAAAGATCCTCTTAACTAGCTGATCATCTGACACTTTTTGAGTTGTATGTAGCTCACATCGTTTGTTCCTGTTTTTCCTACCTGTCAGATGCTGACTTTATCTGGCACAGGATGGTTCCATATTTCCTGGGACAATGTATCCAGCAACATGATGGCAACAAATGCTACAGCTGGTCAGGTCTGTATAATTAAAGACAGAGGGCCAAAACCTCACCTGGTGTAAAACGTCGTAGCTCCAATAAAATCAATGGAGGCATGATGACTTACACAGGCTGAGGATCTGGCCTGGAGCCTGAGACCTTTTGCTGTAATCCCAGGTACTTTTACAGTTATTGGGAGTGCTTTTCAAAAGGATATTGGTGGACCAACCCCTAGTTAGAGCCTCTGAAATCCCACAATATCTGATTTGGTCCCCCATGCATTCAAAATGAAACACAAGCAGTGTGCAGATACATGTTGATCAGCAGAGGGACTCGGACACCTGAGAATAGGTTCTTTGCCACCCGGGAACATACACCAAGAGGGACCTCACATCCCTCGGACAAGGGTTTGGAACTGGGTTCTTCAAAGCCATTGATTTCTGCTGTGCTCGCAGATTGGAGACAAGGTAGGTGAGGCAATAGTTCTTATTGTGCCAGGTCTGGAGAAGGTAAACAGGATGGCTGAGCTAACTATAAGGAGGGGAACTGATTGTTAAGCATGAAGGGGTTCACACATGCTGTCAGAGGGCACTTAAAAATCTAACCCTAACACTTAATATTAAGTGCTCTCCTACCTCCCCTGGGAGGCTTGAAAGCCTTTCCCTTCCACTAACAGACATTGGTCCAGTAAAAGATATTTCCTCGCCCACCTTGTTTCTCTCATGTTCGGGTACCAGCACAGTTCCAACAACACTGCAAAAAATGTTCATAGATTCTAAGGCCAGACAGGACCACTGTGATCTAGTCTGAGCTCCTGCATAACACAGGCCAGGGAGCTTCCTGAAATAATTCTTGTTGCTGGAATAGAGTCTAGCCCTCACTGTAACTAGTAATCTCTTAAAAAAGAAAAAAGTGGTGGGTGAACCTCAGTGTTTGGAAGTTTGCTTTGATTAATACATTTTAGGGCCAGAAGGGACCGTTAGATGTAGTCTGACTTGTGTAATGCAGGCTACAGACTTCATCCAGTTACTCCCGTATTGAACGCAATAACTTGTGTTTGACTAAAGCATGTCTTCCATATAGGCATCTGGTTTTGATTTGAAGTAGGTCTGTCAATTAATTGCAGTTAACGCCTGTGATTAAATGGAAGCAAAATTAACGCGTTAATTTTTTAATTCATTAATTGCATACCTCTGGGTGGGGAGGGAGGCATCTGGGGTAGGATTGGAGCTTTGGAGGCAGGGGGCTGAACCTCCAAGCCAGGCTGGAGCCTCGAGGGGGGTGAAACCCCCAGCCCAGAGCCTATATTTGAGAATATAGAAAGCATCCAAAAATATATAAGTAAGTGGTACTTTATTATTGTTTAACAGTGCTATTAAAACTGCAATTTTTTAATCTTGTGATTAATTGTGATTCATTTTTTTAATCACTTGGCAGCCCTAATTTGAAGACATCAAAAGATGGAGAATCCACTATTTCTCTTGGCAGTGTGATTTGGTTGTTCTAGTGGTTAACCAGCCTCACTGATTTAAAAAAAAAATTGCCTTTATTTTGACTTGAATTTGTTTGGCTTTAAGTTCCAGCCTCTGGTTCTTGTTCTGCTATACATCATATATATGTTTGGTTGCACTACCTCTCGAGTCTGCCTGACTGGGCTTCAAGTCTCATGAGGATCGGCTTCTCTATGATATTTCTTGTACTACTTGCTTCTGGCCAGCCAAGGAACCCTTTGAGAATAACATTCTTCATAGTATTCATCACTTCTCCTTCTGATCCCAGCTGGAATGTAAAAGTGTAGCGATGCTTTGAAAATACAGCGTTACGGGAATTTTAAAGTTTTGAGAAGTCTTTCTTCGAACAGCCAGCTTGGTTGTATTTAGGGTTTGGTTTCAATTTTGGTCAAATATAGATAGTTCTTAAATATCTAAGCTGGTTCTTCCATGCCTATTAATATTGAATCTGGTTTTGGCTCATAGAACTTATGGAGACTTAATCACTCCCTCCATCTCCAGGGCTGGCTGGAACAATGGGAAGTGCTGACAAAGGGAAGATGGACCTTTCATCTCTGCTTTCCGGCTACCCATTATATCAACCCTGTTTCTACCACTGGCTAGTTTACTAAACATAGTGATCACTTTACGAGCATCTCAGCCTTCTCGGTTGCACAATTAAACAAAAATGATCACCTTGTGAATATTATTTTTTTATTTTTTTGTAGATCCAAACAGTGATAGAGGAGCTTCTTTCAGTAAAATGTGAAACTGAGCCATTGTCTGCTAAATTCCTTCTCCGGAATGGATTTGAGGAAGGTAATGTATTTTAAAAAAATTAGGTGAAACTTACTGTAATAGTGGGTTTCTCCTTATGTACTAAACAAGACCTTTGCATGGTGCAGGGGGTATTATACTATTAATGGTTTTACACATTTATTTTCCTCCTGGTTTATTAATAATGTGTGTTAGTTATGGTGAGGGAGTTTAGGGGGGAATTAATTGTTGAATTGATATTAAAAACAGTATTACTAATATGTTAATTACTGATTCTTTTCGCCTCCCCCAGTCTGTTTTATTACACAAACATAAGCAGGTTGCAATATCAAACCAAGTTGTATGTTCACAATATCAGGGGTATAAGGATAGTTTACTATAGGGACATAAAGTGCCATATTATGGAGGTTCCACAGTAGTTATCTAGTATCATATTTTCAAAGGTAGGTATGTGCTCATACATGTTTCTAATGTAGTCGGGATATTAGATGGGGAGGGCTCTGAGTTACTACAGAGAATTCTTTCCCAGGTGTCTGCCTGGTGGGTCTTACCCACATGCTCAGGGTCTAACTGATGGCCATATTTGGAGTCGGGAAGGAATTTCCTCTTGAGTCAGATTAGCAGAGACTCTTGGGATTTTTTTGCCTTCCTCTACAGCATGGGGCTCCGGTCACTTGCATGTTTAAATGGTGAATTCTTTGTAACTTGAAGTCTTTAAACCATGATTTGAGGACTCCAGTAACTCAGCCAGAGGTTAGGGATCTGTTTCAGGAGTGGGTGGGTGAGATTGTGTGGCCTGCAATGTACAGCAGGTCAGACGAGATGATCCCGATGGACCCTTCTGATCTTAAAGTCTACAAATCTATGAGATACCTCTTGTATTAATTTAGAATAAATGGGCCCAAAGGGTCAAAGGTGTTAAGATGACCCAGTCACTGCCCAGTATGGAAGAGTTTTAAAGAAGATTTGGGGTTTGGTATTCAGATAAATCAGCCTGTTTAGTATCATGGCAAACACACACCATTAATTGTTTTAACCCTTTATTAAAGATACAGAAGAGAAAAAGCATTTGAAATTTAAAGTATTAAATACGGATTTAATTTTAACAACATCCCTTCTTCCCTTTCCCTTCAGCTGGAGAAAGGCTTTAAAAGGAAAATGCCCTGTTTGAGAGTCCCTTGGGTGGTATTGCAGATGGTAATAACTGTCCTTTTGGGGAAAAGTGAAGAAGTTAGTTGAGATGGGTTGGAGCTGCTGTTCTAGTCTGATCCCATTTCCTGGAAGACAAAACAAGACCCACACAAACAAGGAAAGAAAAGAACAGCAAAGATAGAAAACACTGCCTCTGTCTTTGGTGTTGACTTTCACTTGCAACCTCACTGCTGAAGGAACACCGTCATGCCACATGGTTTTATCAGCCACTCTGAGACCTGCATACTAGCATCAGGCTGCTTAGGCCATTGCCTTTAACTGTCCCTCTGGTCGCAGGCTCACAGCACTGTTGCAAAACATACAGTTTTGACTGGCGAAGGAAGACTCTTATTAAACAGAAGGCAAAAGGAGAGAGATAGGAAGGAAAAGAAATAAAGTGGGGAAGGAAAAGGACACAGAACGGGAGGTGGGGGTGACAGTCTTACATTCCAGATGGTATTTGGGATTTAGCGAGAGTTGGTTGAGGTGGTGGTGTCATTTGGGTCCCTATCTCTGGCCTGGTCTAGTCAGGAAGTTTCTCAGGATTAGGATGAAGAAGGCACAATCGTGTCCTGCTGGATCCTGAGGTTCCAGAAGACGGGGGGGGGGGGCAGTCCTGATGATGATGCTGCTCACTCCTACCCATTCTCTTTTCTTTCAGTCACTCAGCCTTCCCATCCATCAGTTTCAACCCCGCCCCAAATTTTTTGAGGCTCCCAAAAGGGGAGTGTGGAATAGCCCAACACCTCATTATTTTGTCCACCAATTCGGCCTAAATGCCAAAACACCAGTTTTGGCCGCTGAATTCCAGTCCCACGCTTCTCTTGTGCTCCAGGCATGAGCTTAACAAGGCCTTGAGATCTATCAGTAGATATTTCTTATATAGACTAAGTCACTCTGTCTCCCTTCTGCACCATTCCCCATCAATATTTTTAGGTTATTGTGATACTTTATGAACTTTCACTCTCTCTTCTCAGTTGAGCTCACAATTAGGTTAAATACAGAGCTCCAATGATCACAACATACTTGATCTGCATCTGTAATTCACTTGTCAAGGTGTGTATGTTACATGTGACTCTCTGTGCCTAATCCACTGGGGAGGTGCGTCTGGTGCTCCCCTCACCTACAATGACTGGCTCTTTAGATCAAGCTGCTGGGAGTCATGCTTTCAGCTGTCAAGATCCTGGTTCAGTTTGTCCTGGTATCCGTTGTACTCATGTATCTAAAGTGAGTGCACCTCCTTGGTATGCTTCATTGGGCACATGCGTATGCAAATACTTGCTTTGCAAGTGTGCATCATTTATTCGCTCAGGCAAATTTAGGCACAAGATTGCATTCACCAGCCTTCGAGTGTCCAGCCCCTCCATGGCTTCCTGAAAATCCTTTTCAAACATCTAACCTCTTTCATTTTTACTACTGTCAGGCCAGGGAGACTCTGCCACTGTGGGACATGTTGCCAGCTGGACAGAACCTTTTTGTGGAAGGTTCAGTATTCACAGGCCAAAACATCTTGTAAAAATGTCTCCATCAACCTTACCAAGATACAGCCTCACTGAGTACACACATGTAAGTAGCCTCCCTGAGTAGGGCAAAACATGGAGGAAAGTACAGAGAACCAAATAACATAATAAAATTAAAAATGGACAAGGCATATCAGGAAATTGAGGTCATCTGCCCTTTTCCCCAAACCCACGCAAGATTGTGTTTTAGGGATATATTCCTGGGGCACGAAGAAACAAAGCTTATTTATCCATAAACTCTATTGCTTACTAAAGGTGGTAGATTGACAGCCCTGGAAACTGATGTATTCTGGAGATAACCAGAGGATGTGCTGTGGTCAGTGCCAGTCCAAACTACTCCATGCTATTTCATTAATGTGCTGCCAGCCTGCCTAGAGAGACTGCCTCTGCTAATGTAACGCTTAACACTTGTAGTGATTTGCACCCATAGACCTCGTAGTACGTTATAAAGACAGGTAAGCATCGTCCTCACTGTACAGATTAGGACACAAAGAGTTTAAGGGACTGGCACAAGGTCACATAAGGAGGCAGTGGTAGAGCTGGGAATAGAATTCAGGTCATTTGATTCCCAGTCCAGTGATCTCTCCCCTCTCAGCACCACACTAGGTAGAGCCTTGGCATGAGGCTCGGAAGACCAGGGTTCTATTCCCACCTCTGCCACTAGCCTGCTGGATGACCTTGGGCAAGTCACTTCTCTCTGCCTCATTTTCCCCATCTGTAAAATAGGGATAATGATACTGACCTCCTTGGTAGAATGCTATATAAAAGCTGGGCAGCTGTATTATTATTATTATGATGACAGCCTCTGTGGGGTGGGAAGGGACAATTCGTTCTCAATGCCCATTTTAGTCTTTTTTTATGTTGGAGATGCCACCAGCAGTACCAATTACTATCAGTCACAATAGTCATTACAGGTTTCAGAGTAACAGCCGTGTTAGTCTGTATTCGCAAAAAGAAAAGGAGTACTTGTGGCACTTTAGAGACTAACCAATTTATTTGCGCATAAGCTTTCGTGAGCTACAGCTCACTTCATTGGATGCATACTGTGGCAACTGCAGAAGACATTTGTCAAGGTTCCTCCCCCACTCTGAACTCTAGGGTACAGATGTGGGGACCTGCATGAAAAACCTCCTAAGCCTATCTTTACCAGCTTAGGTCAAAACTTCCCCAAGGTACAAAATATTCCACCCTTTGTCCTTGGATTGGCCGCTACCACCACCTAACTAATACTGATTACTGGGGAAGAGCTGTTTGGACACGTCTTTCCCCCCAAAATACTTCCCAAAACCTTGCACCCCACTTCCTGGACAAGGTTTGGTAAAAAGCCTCACCAATTTGCCTAGGTGACTACAGACCCAGACCCTTGGATCTTAAGAACAATGAACAATCCTCCCAACACTTGCACCCCCCCTTTCCTGGGAAATGTTGGATAAAAAGCCTCACCAATTTGCATAGGTGACCACAGACCCAAACCCTTGGATCTGAGAACAAAGAAAAAGCATTCAGTTTTCTTACAAGAAGACTTTTAATAAAAATAGAAGTAAATAGAAATAAAGAAATCCCCCCTGTAAAATCAGGATGGTAGATACCTTACAGGGTAATTAGATTCAAAAACATAGAGAACCCCTCTAGGCAAAACCTTAAGTTACAAAAAAGATACACAGACAGAAATAGTTATTCTATTCAGCACAGTTCTTTTCTCAGCCATTTAAAGAAATCATAATCTAACACGTACCTAGCTAGATTACTTACTAAAAGTTCTAAGACTCCATTCCTGGTCTATCCCCAGCAAAGACAGACTATAGACAGACACACAGACCCTTTGTTTCTCTCCCTCCTCCCAGCTTTTGAAAGTATCTTGTCTCCTCATTGGTCATTTTGGTCAGGTGCCAGTGAGGTTACCTTTAGCTTCTTAACCCTTTACAGGTGAGAGGAGCTTTCCCCTGGCCAGGAGGGATTTCAAAGGGGTTTACCCTTCCCTTTATATTTATGACAACATTATATACACAGAGACCATGAAACAATACCTCCTCCCACCCCATTCTCCTGCTGGTAATAGCTTATCTAAAGTGATCACTCTCCTTACAATGTGTATGATAATCAAGTTGGGCCATTTCCAGCACAAATCCAGGTTTTCTCACCCTCCGCCCCCGCACACACAAACTCACTCTCCTGCTGGTAATAGCCCAGCTTTTACATTGTAATACACATTGTAAAGAGAGTGGTCACTTTGGATGGGCTATTACCAGCAGGAGAGTGGGGTGGGAGGAGGTATTGTTTCATGGTCTCTGTGTATATAATGTCTTCTGTAGTTTCCACAGTATGCATCTGATGAAGTGAGCTGTAGCTCACGAAAGCTTATGCTCAAATAAATTGGTTAGTCTCTAAGGTGCCACAAGTACTCCTTTTCTTTTTGATAGTCATTACAGTGTAAACTTCTTTTGATGAGAAATCGGACTAAAAGCAGCAACTCCTTTCACATGAGTCACGAAACAGATCTCAGCTGGTAATAACATTCGGTCGCTACCAGTGTGGGCTGGATTTGGACCATAATATAAACCTTCTTCAGCAATAATGTATTGTTTTCCTTCTCCTTTCTCAGGTGTGCTTTGCATATAAAGGTTATGTGAGCGATACGCTTTATGTTTTAGTGTCCTATATCAACACCTTTCTAAATACAGTGAAGAAGAATCTTACTTGCCTGTGGAGTCTGAATGAGACCAGCCCAGAAAGGTACCCAGTACAAGGCTACATGTGGTATGATGTCCTCAACTTTTATCTTCCTCGCAGGGCTACCACGGGAGACTGACCAGTCACAAGCCATTTAACCAGTTCGTTACACACGGACATGATAATCTTAATAATACCCCTCCCTGAAGGCCTCTAGGGGTGTGTCTACACTGCAGTTAAAACCTCATGGCTGGCCCACGTCGGCTGGCTTGGGCTTGCGGGGCTCGGGCTGTGGGGCTATTTAACTACAGCATAGAAATCTGGGCTCGCGTTGGAGCTTTGGGTCCCTGCGAAGAGGGAGGGTCCCAGTCCTGACCCTGAATGTTTACCCTGCAGTTAAACAGTCCTGCGACCCCCAGCCCAGTGAGCACAAGCAAAGGCCAGCTGCGGGTGTTTAACCGTAGAGTAGACTTGACAATGAATGCCACAAGCCAGTATAGCAGTTGCTGTGACAGAGAAGACTCAGAGTAGTGGCTGCACAACTCTTAATCTCAGAAACCTTTAGGAATTCACAGTATTTCTTCTTGACCCCCATCTGTCAGCCAGCGTATTCCTGGAAATGCAGGGAGTGCTAGCCCTTATGATTTTATCCTAACACACGTACCTGCAGATGCCACTCTTAGGTATGTCTAATTATTTTTGATGCGTTTTAAGCAATTTCCCTCCATACTTTCCTGTATCATTGAGTTCAACAAAGTATATAGAATGCATGCTGCTGCTACTCCGCCTTTAACCCACTGCTCTGTCCTGGATGATTGTTGGAGTCAATGCACTATGTTAATGCTGAGTTATACAGGGCTAGCCACGTTGGGTATATCCAACCTGGTTGGAGGTCTGCGTTGGAACTGACTGATTATTGGCAAGTGTGCTATCTCGGCATGCACTGTATCCTGTGCCAGGCCAGAGACTTGTTCTTCAGGGGCCTGTTGGGACAAACAAAAGTCCTTTTCCGGAACTCAGCAAGGATATTTCTTGGACATAATGCTCACCCTTATTTAGTCTTAAGTTAATTCATTGGCCGTTTTTGAAGATAGGATACTGCCCTAGGTCGACAAGTGGTCTAGTTTAGTACAGCACATTTTGTTGTGCTCATTAGCTTTTATAATAATTAAGGGTTGAACCTGGCTGTTAATTTAATGTCCTCTTTGCATTTAACAAAGACAAGATTCTTACCCAGATTTCCTTTTTGCGCTAGCTGAGAGGACTGGCCCTAGGTGAATATTGCCATACGCATTAAGAGCATTTGACATCTCCTATACACCCACAAACCCTCCGGATCCTTTGCATAGTTTCAACAGTGCTTCCAAAGTGGTGGTGGGGATTGCAACAGCTGGCATGAAGGTTTAAGGCATGGGCAAGTGATATGTAGCACGACAAGTGAAGATAAATTTGCCATGAAATGCAGCTGTGGGCCACTCTTTCTCTGTGTATCTGGAGGGTAAGAGAAAAGCTGATTAATGGAGGCTTTTAGTCAAGTTAAGCAACAATCGGTTTCTGTTTCTCAAGGCAGAGAGGTGTGAGCAAATAGCATGGCTGTGGTGTTGCATTTATTTTTGGAAATCCGTGATTTCCTAGGTACAGCCCTTGAGTACTTGGCAAGGTGATAACACAGCTCTCTGTGTTTCAGAGGCTTGTAATTCTAGCATTAAAGCGCTCTGGGCATATGGGAGGAGTTTGGGCTGCATGCCAAACAGGCCTAGATACTTTTAGTATTGTTTAAAACAATTTGAACATGAGAGGCACAGTCCTTGTGTAACCCATTGGTGAGTGTGCATAAGAGGTCCCACTCTGTGTTGATTCACAGAGAAGACAAGGCTGTTGCAACCCCACCTGGAGAAGCCATGGTGCTTTAACTCCTGCGGTAGTGACTCATGCTTATCGTTCTGGAGGTCCCTGGTTCAATTCTGAGTATGTCAGCCAAGATGGTGGCCATTGCATTAGTACCCACTTGGGTATAAGAATTAGGCAGCTGCCTAGCTCACCTATCCCTTAAGCTGGCTATGAGTGAAATGTTATCTGAATGCCTTTCAGCTGGAAGTTCACATGTGCTGATCTCTGGAGGGGCTGTGTGAATGGCTCTGAATCCCTCCGGGACCTTGAAGCCAACTCACCAGTGTTTGTGCATCAGATCGACATGCTGATCCCTGAGAGAGAGGAGGAGACATCTAGCTGGTTTTACCTTGATGAAATTATCATCTCGGATAGAAACGTAACTGGTAATTGAATCCCTTTCTCTTTGTTGATGATGTTCTAGGCACTACCTTCCCTACAAAATATCAATAAATAAGCTGGCTTTTAGAGAGTGTTTTTTTCATTCAAAAAATACAAAGAAAAAGACCGCCCTGCATTTTTCTGAAAACAAGGTTTCATGAAAAATCATCAACTTAAATTTATTTTGTTTTCATTGAAAACATCTACAGTAGAACCTCAGAGTTATGAACACCAGGGTTACGAACTGACCAGTTAATCACACACCTCATTTGGAACCGGAAGTATGCAATCAGGCAGCAGCAGAGAGAGAAAAAAAATAAATAAAAAAGCAAATACAGTAGAGTGTTTTAAATGTAAAACTATTAATAACATAAAGAGAAATCAACATTTTTCTTCGGCATAGTAAAGTTTCAAAGCTGTATTAAGTCAATATTCAGTTGTAAACTTTTGAAAGAACAACCCCAATGTTTTGTTCAGAGTTACAAACATTTCAGAGTTATGAACAACCTCCATTCCCAAGGTGTTTGTAACTCTGAGGGGCTACCATATAAAACATAAAAGGAATACTTGTGGCACCTTAGAGACTAACCCATTTATTTGAGCATAAGCTTTCGTGAGCTACAGCTCACTTCATTGGATGAAGTGAGCTGTAGCTCACGAAAGCTTATGTTCAAATAAATGGGTTAGTCTCTAAGGTGCCACAAGTATTCCTTTTCTTTTTGCAAATACAGACTAACATGGCTGTTACTCTGAAACATATAAAACATAGTGGTTGACCCTTTTTAGCTCCCTGAAAACACTGGGTTTTCAGTAAATGAAGGAATTCACTGACATTTTGGATAAGAAGTTGCCAACGTTATGAGAAATGTTGAAGAAACACCAACAAGTGGGTCCGTTTCCAATTCTGAAATGGAAACGACTTTGAAATTTTGAAATAAAAAACAGTGACTATCTCTAATGACTAATATTTTCCCTTCAGTTTTTCAAAGGGATCCCAGACCAGCTCGTCCGGGTGGAAATGTTATCCAAGAAGTGTCTGTGATGGGGTCTCCCCCCACCTACAACGTGTCCTTTCTGGTGGCTGACTGTGGCAGCAATCTCCCTCTTCTGTCACTGAGGTAGGAATTGGAGGCAGGTTATCCCACGTCCCTAGTACAGATTCTCATACCGTCCTCTGGAGCAGCTGGTGCTAGCCGCTCAGAATGCTGGACTAGATGAAACTCAGGTCTGACCCAGTCTGGCAATCCCTGTGTTGCTGTTCCTAGGAATTCTTATTCTTTCACACGCAAGTGTTTGATGTTTCTGCTTTTGTTCATTTTCCATCAGACCCTCTGCTAGAAGGTCTCATCTTGCCTCAGCCATTCTTGAAGGGGACCAGACAGAGGCCCATGTCACTGGAAATCCCCGCTTGTTAACAGTAAGGCAGGGCCTTGGACTAACTTGAACACAGAGAACTATAAGATTTTAGATTTAAAAAAAAAAAGTCCCAACTTCTAATCCCAAACTTTTGGAGAATTTGGACCCAGATTGGAATGTTGTGCCTGGTTTATCTCCATACTGACCCCAGAGCACAGAGTCCGAACAGCCTGGAACTTTGAGGGAGTTTAGATTTGGATTTTATGATTTGGGCTTATTCTCTTAAAACATGCCAAACACCCTCCACCCCAGGCCACCCTACATACACAACAAAGAACTCCTCCATGACCTCCCATGTCCAGTTCACCCTGGGGTCCTATGTAGCAGTGCAGTTTGTTTTCACAGCTCAGTGGGAAGGGCTGTTCTTATTTATTTTTTTTAATGTTATTTTTTAAGGCTAGCACTCTCTGTGATTAGGAATCAGCTAATTACTATTATTTGTATTTCCAGTAGCACCCATGGGCCCCAGCTGAGATCAGGGTCCGATTGTGGTAGGTGCTATACACACACACGTCTCTGCCCCAAATAATTTTGTCTATTTAAATCATAGACAGACTGTGGTGGGGCGGTTGCCCCACCCCCTGAGAAAAGGGCTGGAACAAGCCTTTTGAGGCTGCACAGACCGGCAGCCAATCAATAAAGGCCTGTGGAGGGCCAATCAGTGGAAGGAAGAGGCAGCCAATCAGGGCCGGGTGAGGCCCTATATAAAGGCTGCCTAGCAGAGAAGAAGGCAGTCACTCCCTGACTGGCAAGGGAGAAGGACTGGCTCCTGAGGTAAGGAGCAGCGCCTTGGACAAAGCAGTGCTGGGCAGGCTTGGGGGAGCAAAGCGGAGCTCCAGCCCATTACCTGCCAGGCTGCGGCCCATGCTAAAAAGGGTCGAGAAGGTACATAGGGCCAAAGGGGAAGTGGCCCAGGGAAACTAGGCAGACGAGGGAAGAGAAGAAGAGCCGAGGGAGGCTACCACTAGAGGGTCCCTGGGTTGGGACCCAGAGTAGTGGGCAGGCCTGGGTCCCCCCCTTCCCCCCTGGCACTGCACCTGGCCATCGAGGAGAGGGGCCGAGACAGATCGCAACTTGCCCCTGAGACAAGGGGCTAGACTATAGGATTGTAATTGGCCGCCAAGGCAGGTGCAACCAGAAGGACTGCTGTTAACAACAACCCACCCCCCCCCCCGGAAGGGGGTGAGACCAGAGGAGTGGGCACTGCCGGAGGGCAGTGTCCTGAAGTGGACAGGAAGAGAACACCACTGAGCAGGGAGCAACACAGGTCCCAGGGCAGCAGAGTAGATGATGGGCGAGACACCACGCGTTGGCGCTCCGCAGCAGTGGAGAGCTAATTCCCGGAGCGACCAGCCAGAGGTGCCAGCGGTGGTAAGTCGAACCCTGTCACACAGACAAAGAAAGGAGCACCTAGAACTCTTACTGAAATCTATGGCAGCTGCATGTGCTCAGCGCCTCTGAAAAAAATCAGACTTGAGGATTTTAAAGAAATGCAACCCAAGTCAGCAAGGAGAAAAAAATAGAGAAACTGAAACAATCCAGTTTATATTTTAATGGGGACTCCCAAGACCTCATCTGTTCAGTGTAAGTACTTCCTGCTACAGTCCTTCAAAGTTCAAGACTCTCAGGTGATTTGGTAACGTGGTTAAAACACAGTTCAGCCCTGTCTGCAATGCAAAACCAGCCAAGCTTCCTAGCATGGTAGATTAGTACAGCATAGATGTGACTTCACTTGTAAGTAGATCACCGATAGTTTTTACAGAGAGAAAGAGAAGTTCCATATCTGTGTGGCATGGGCAAAGCTGAGTGGATAAATTCAGATTTGTCTGAATGCTGTGGGTTTTTTTTTTTTTAAATATATAAACAGAGGAGGAGTGGATAGGCACCAGAGAGGGGATTTTACTTTTGTATGTGAGCTGTATGGTGGAACACTGGCGTCCATTTCTGGTGTCAGCATTTTAAAAAAAGCATGTTAAAAAACTGGAAAGGGGGCAGAGAAGAGCTACAAAAATGATGCAAGGACTGGAGAAAATGCCTTACAACGAGAGATGTAAAGAGCTCAATCAATTTATTTGTCAAAAAGATTAAGCGGTGACTTGATTAGTGTCTAAGTACTGACACAGGGAGACTCTATGGGGGTAGTAAAGAATTCTTTAATCTAGTGGAAAAAGGCATTACAGGAACCAGTGCCTGGAAGATAAAGTCAGACAAATTCAAATTTGAGCTAACATACTATTTTAACTGTGAGGATTGCTAACCATTGGAACAAACTATGAAGGAAAGTGGTGAATTCTCCAGTCTTGATGTCTTCATGTCTAGACTGGATACCCTTCTGGAAGATGTACTTTAGTCAAACACAAGTTATTGGGCTCAATACAGGGGCAGCTGGGGGAAATTCTTTGGCCTCTGTTGTACAGGAGGTCAGGCTAGATAGATGATCTAATGCAGTGGTTGTCAACCAGGAGTATGTTTACCACTGGGGGTACCCCCAGGTATTCCAGGGCATACTCAACTCATTTGGACATTTGCCTAGTTTTACAACAGGCTACATAAAAAACACTAGCAAAGTCAGTACAAATTAAAATTTCATACAGACAATGACTTTTCTGTATGCAGTTTTTCAGTAATAGTGTGCTGTGACACTTATGTATTTTTAGGTCTGATTTTGTAAGCAAGTAGTTTTTAAGTGAGGTGAAACTTGGGGGTACACAAGGCAAATCAGACTCCTGAAAGGGGAACAGTAGTCTGAAAAGATTGAGAGCCACTGATCTAATGGTCCCTTCTGGCCTTAAAATCTATGGATTAGAATAAACATGTTTAATTAGGGAATTATATAGTTGACATTCATACAAGTCACCACACAGTGATACTCTTGTGCCACCAAGGACATTTGTTTTCCCCAACTGCACTTAAAGTTGCAGGCCAATCAGTCTATATTGTAAGCAATATAGATAACTCGTCCTTGCCATGATTAGATGCATTGAGACGCTGAGCAGGTTTGTGAAAGCTACTTGAGTAAATATCACTCCAACTTTTTATTTATTCCTTTTGGCATAGCAAACATGTTTAGCTTGTAAACTCTGGATCACGGATTGTCCTCTTGTTCTCTTTGTGCAGTGCCTAGCACAATGGGGTCCAGGTCCAGGACTGGGGCTTCTAAGTTCTACCATAATACTACTAAGAAGAATAAGATGAGATTATAACTGTGAAGCATAAAAAAAGTGTTCTTTAAGCATCACCTCCATTGTCCCCCGCTGTAGATGATGCATGTACCATGACAGTGTGAACTTGGAATAACGGTGTCTGTCAGGGCTGTGAGTGTTCCTTGCCTAGGTCCTTAAACACTTCCAAAGAATGCTGCTGATCTAAACTCCCAGGGGTGCATACACATCACTTGCAGCATGGATCCTTGTAGGCAGCCATCTTGAAGAACAACAGTTACAATGATAAGGCGCTATGTTGCTTTTCAAAGCACATCTGAATCACAGTCGGCTTCCTTGTTTGGAGATCATTTTTGTGAAAATGTCTGATATTGCTTTGCTCCTCTGCAGCTCCTCCGATGAGGGGATCTCAAAACACCGTACAACCATTGGCTAAAACTAGGCAGGATGGCCTTGTGGTTAAAACCTGGGATTTGAGGGTTGTGGGTGGGGGTGTCAGTTAGAGCACTAACCTGGGACGTGAAAGGCCCACAGTCAAGTCCCCTCCTCACCAAAGAGTTTGTCGAGACATTAAGGAAGGCAGTTAGAATATGCCCACAGTCAAGCTGAAAGTGTAATTCCAGGTAGGATAAATGTACTTGTGCTAACTCAGACAGAGCCAGCGTGCTAAAAATAGCAGTGTAGCTCCCCCCAGTGCCTGAGCAGGCACATGGGGTCCAGGGTGGGATTGTACTCAGGGCAGCTATCCCATCCTATGTCCTGTGCCACTGTGGCTACGCTGCTATTTTTAGCATGTTAGCTGGATCAAAGCTAGTGTGTGTATGTCTACCTGAGCTGGAAATTACATCTCCGGCACAAGGGCAGACTCACCCTTAGTTCCCATCAGAAATGGGGATGGTAGCACTAATCTACCTCATAGGGGGTCTTTGGAGGATAAACACGTTTAAGTTTGTCAGGTGCTGGGATACTGTGGTGATAGGAGTTGGATAAGTACCTAAGATAGACAAGAGTTGGGAGACCTGGGTTGTCTGTTCCTAATTCTTCTATTGCCTTCTTGTATGACCTCAGGTAAGTCATGTCCCCTCTCTGTGCCCGTGGTCCCAAATTGGGAATGATAATACAGAAAGGTTACTGGGAGCCCTAATTTGTTACCGTTCAAAGTTCAGTAGCCCAAAGTGTTTGACAAAGTATTACTGAAGCTCCAAGGATGGGCTCCTGGAGCGCAGACGTCACAGCACTGTGAAAATGCTGCCGCATCGCAGTGCCAAGTGTTGAAATGCGGAGGTTCAGTTCAGCAGACTCAGACTAGGACAGGCCCAAAAGCTATTTGGCCAGCCTTTGTGAGGGTCTTTCCGTTTCCTTTCACGGGCCCATCACACCGTTCTTCCTAGCTCTGTATGGAGAACAGTAGCTGGTTCGAGAGATTGCAATCAGCTGACTTTTGCTTGCAATCTCCCACTCGTGCTGATTGCATTGGAGTGGAGTTGTGCGTTGCGCACTGGAGCTGCTGACTCAGGTGGTTCAATTCTCTCCTGCAGGGGAGCTTTGCCCTCGGAGGGCTCAGAAGAAGATGATCACCTGGCTGTGTCCATGGAAGGTGCCAGTGTCACTCTGACAGTTCAGAGACTGCAAGCTGCATCCCCACCTATTGGCGGGACTTTCCAGATCCTGCTTACCAGTACAGTGATAGCAGGTAAAGGGAGAGTGAAACTTTTGCTTTTCTGGGAGCCAAAAGGAGGTGAGCCGGGACATCACCCCGGAAACATTCCTGCAAAGGCAGGGCTGTCAGACTGCCCCTTTGGGGGGCAGCTGCTAGTTCTTCACATTTATCTGCCCCCCAAAGCGGGGAGGGATATTTTTGGATGATGGCTTTAGATACTGATCCAAAACCCAATTGAGGAGAATGGAGAGCCACCCACTGACTTCTATGGGGTTGAGCTCAGACCGTCAGAGGGTTTTCTCACGCTAAGGTACATTATAGAACAGTGATACCTCTCTAAAGCATTAGATCCTATGTATGTGTATGTAGTGCACCCTCGCTGTTATACCTTCCCGGGCTTGATCCAGGAGGACCTGTGGCTGCACAGCTGTTGATATCTCTGTTTTATAATGAACTTCCCAGGTGTCCCGGTGCATGTCTCCTCCCATCACCTCCGTGAGCTCCTGCAAAGCAACCCCGATAACTCCACAGGCCAGTACCTCAACGCCAGTGATTTCACGGTCACCAAGGACATGAGCACTTGTTACCAAAACGTATGGACACTGACCTGGAACTCCATGACTGGTGACTTGCCCATTGTCATCAATGTACGATGATCTTTTCTTTTAACACAATTGTTGCTGCACCCTTAAATCTGCCAGCCAGTTTGTCTGTGATGACAGGATTAATTTTCATAAAGGTTTTATTCACCTAGATCTCTCGGGAGACTCCCGACAAAGGCTATTATTGAGAGCAATAACTCAGTAAGTTCCAGAGTGGTTAGATGGTTAAGAAAAGGAACCGCAGTTATAGTCAAAGAGATAAAAATATAAAGCCATCAACCCTCATGCTTTGAACCGTAAGCCTGACCTCAGGCTTAACTGCCCCGTGTTCCACAGTGTTGCAGAGGAAGGGCCCACTGACGTGGGGGTTGGACCTGTGCTAGGCACAATCATGTTTAAACATAGTTGCTGCAGGCGGATGTCTGGCATGGGTCTCTGAGCAAGGTGGACAGGGTTTTTGTCTCTGAGAATTATACTATGGAGTAACCCCCCCCCCAGGGTTTTATTACCTGAGTCTCACGCGGTTCTCAGACAAAAGTCCCTGTCCATGCTGGTCAGAGAAACCCTGAGAGGGAGGCCATGTGTAGGGGGGCATGCGGCGTGATGTGCCCCCCAAGATTTCTCCCAGGGTGGGAATTGGGTTGCGCATGGCTGAGGCATGTATGCCTGGGAAAGGCACCAGCACCTAGCGCTCCCATTGAGCTCGGCTAGGAGGCACCCGGAGTAGGGAAGAGAGACCAGGCTGGTAGCACAGCTCTGCCAGAGGGGGCCTGGAGAAGCCTGCTGAATCCTGTCCCTTCCTCGTCCGCAGCCACAGTTACCGATGGTGGTAGGTGTCCAAACCCTGCGCTGGCCTGCGCAATGCCTGCAGCGGGGAGGCAATGGGAGAAGTGGGGAAGGAGCTGTGAGGGGAGTGGGAGTGTTAGGGTTCCTTCCCCACTCTGAACTCTAGGGTACGGATGTGGGGACCTGCATGAAAGACCCCCTAAGCTTATTTCTACCAGCTTAGGTTTAAACTTCCCCAAGGCACAAAGTCTTTGCCCTTGGATTAGGTAAACGCTGCCATCATCAAGTGATTTACAAAACAAACAGGGAAAGGACCACTGGGAGTTCCTATTTCCCCAAAATATCCCCCCAAACCCTTACACCCCCTTTCCTGGGGAGGCTTGAGAATAACCAAGATGAGCACAGACCAGCCTTGGATTTTTAAGACCCCAAAAAACTCAATCAGATTCTTAAAAAACCAGAACTTTATTAGAAGAACAAAAAAAGATAAGAGAACAACTCTGTAAAATCAGAATGGAAGATAATCTTACAGGCAGTCAGATTCAAACAGAGAATCCCTCTAGCCAAAACCTTAAGTTACAAAAAGACACAAACACAGGAATACACATTTCCTCCCACACAGCAAATTTCACAAGCCAAAACAAAGAAAACCTAACGCATTTTCGAGCTAGATTACTTACTAACTTTACAGGAGTTTGAGGACTTGTATCCTTGATCTGTTCCTGACAAAGGTATCATGCAGACATAGAATATCTGGGTTGGAAGGGACCTCAGGAGGTCATCTAGTCCAACCTCCTGCTCAAAGCAGGACTAATCCCCAATTTTTGCCCCAGATCCCTAAATGGCCCCCTCAAGGATTGAACTCACAACCCTGGGTTTAGCAGGCCAATGCTCAAAGCACTGAGCTATCCCTCTGCCTTTTCCCCCTTCTCCAGATTTGAAAGTATCTTGTCCCCTCATTGGTCATCTTGGGTCAGGTGCCAGCCAGGTTACCTGAGCTTCTTAACACTTTACAGGTAAAAGCATTTTGCCTCTGGCCAGGAGGGATTTTATAGCTCTCTATACAGAAAGGTGGTTACCCTTCCCTTTATATTTATGACAGGGAGCAACATGATGCTGGCTTGGAGTAGGCATGGGAGGCATGGGGGGAGTGGGAAAGGGCCCAGAGGTGACATGTGGGGCGGTCACATGCCATCCCAGAAACTTTAAATCACGCCCTCCCCCCCCAATCAAGAATTATGTGTTGCCTCTGTCCAAGTCCTGTTTCAACAAACCTGCTCAAACATGGTCGTAGCTAGTATGGTCCTACTCTCAGTTTGGACAGGGACTAGGTGCATTACTGGGCTTTTACACCAACCTCTGAAGGATGTGGCATTGCCCCTGTCAGAGACAGCGTATTAGACTGAGATGGAGTATTGCTATATAGGGAATCCTGTGTACGTTTCTTTGCCAATGTAAAGCCATAGCTAGGGAGGCAGGGTGATCTGGTGCTGAAGACACAGGCCTCGGAGATGGAAAAACTGGGTTCAGTTCTGTGCTTCAGGGCAGACTCCCTGCGTGACCTTAAACCATGTTTCTTAATTTTTTTCCCTCCGTTTCCCACCTGTAAAATGGAGACTGCAACATTGTGTTGTAGGATGCATACACTAAGATTGTGACGGGGCTTGGGTGCTGTGCCAATGGGGCCATATAAGCAGATACAGAGAACATTCCCATTCATTCATTGTAGCCCTTAGCTATGTGAGTTCGAGTTGCTTATGAAATGATGCACAACGTGTATAAGAAAAAAAGATTTTATAAAGCTGAGAAAAAATTGGTTCTTCATTCTTTCACGCCATGCTAGGTCTCTGCTGAAAACCTCACAGGACTTAACCCAACCATTGCAGCTCGTGTGGTTTATGATGGCGGCGTATTTATTGGACCAATATTTGGGGACATGCTAGCTACGGCCAATAACCACACCCAGGTAGGTCACCAGCTGACCACAGTTTCCGTAGACTCATTGTGACTTGCTGTCTGACAGACAGATCTGGCCACCCTACACTTGCTGAACAGTGCTGCATTCCATGAGTAAGGCATTTAAATCAATGAGACTCAGCACAGATTAAGATACTACTAACCATGAGTAAGGGAGTGGGATTTTTCCTTGTGAGGCAGGGGCTTAGAGCTAATGATATATCTATGACTATGCCATTAAACCAAACGGACACTGGGTTCTATAGTGATAACTTCCAAACACTGTAGCAACGCTATATTAAACTGCAGTTTGGGGGCCATTATTTAGCAGGGTTTGAGGAAGGATGACCTAGTGAGCGGGTGTGATGTTCCCCTGGTGTTATCTGGACTGGTGATCTGCTAGATCACTCCAGTCCTCGACTCTGGGAGCCAGCCTTACCCTGCTCCGCTATGAGAACCCCCACTCCCGGGCTGTTCACGCACAGCCTCTGGCATATAAATTGCTCCCAGCGAGGTGAGTGAGCACTTTTGGCCAGCCACTGCTTGGATTGTGCAACTAGCGGATATCTCCAGTCCTAGACGCAACCCTAGGGACCTCCATCTTGCAGTGTCCAGTTATGCCTGCTGGACGCTGCAAACTTATGAGTTCATCAATTTAACAAAGAAATTGATATGTACCAGGCTTGTTCTCCCAAGGGGAGTCTCTGACATGCTTCAAACCAAACACACTGCTTCAGGTAGAATAAACAAATTTATTAACTACAAAAGATAGATTGTAAGTGGTTATAAGTCAAAGCACAAGAAGTCAGATTTGGTCAAATGAAATAAAAGCAAAATGCATTCTAAGCTGATCTTAACACTTTCAGTGCCCTTACAAACTTAGATGCTTCTCACCACAGGCCTGCTGGTTGCTCTTCAGCTCTCCCCTTTGATCAGTGCTTCAGTCGCTCAATGTGGTGTCTGTAGATGGACGTGGAAGAGACAGAGATGTTTGCCATGGTCTCTCCCTTTTATCATGTCCTTTCTTCCCTCTTGGCTCTTCCCCTCCCGCCCCACCCCCCGTTTAGAGTCAGGTGAGCATTACCTCATCATAGTCCCAAACTGACCAAGGGAAGGGTGGTGACTCACTCGAGAGTCCAACAGATTCTTTTGTTGCTGGCTAGGCCAGCGTCCTTTGTTCCTGTGAGGCTAGGTGGGGTTTGACCCATACATGCCCTGATGAGATGTGAACTGCCCCTCTGCTCCTGGAGAGTTTTGCCTGGGCTTTTTTTAAGCCATGAGGACACATTTTCAGCCTCATAACTATATACATGAAATTACAACCTATAATGTTACTATAACAACAATGCTCAGTGCATCATGAGCCTTCTGAAGAAATCTGACATGGCAAACTTTGCATTGGATACCACACAATCATATTATAAGGATGAACATGGGAGTGCAGGGTGTTCTCCCAAGGTACAGAGTGTCACAGCGGGGTCCTAGCCTGGGACTTAAGAAACCCATGTTCAGTCCCCTGCTCTTCAGCAAACTTCCTGTGTGACTGTGCTCAAGTCACTTAGTCTCACAATGTATCTGTTCCCCATCTGTAAAACAGAGACAATAGCACTCCCGTCCCTCACAGGAGCATTGTAGGAATAAATACATTAAAGCTTGTGAGGCTTTTGGATGCTGCAGTGCTTGGGGCCATGGATATACCTAGTGAGATAGAACATTATGGTTTTGTTACGCATGGGAGAAAGTTCCTCACTCAGGTTTGTTGTTCATTTGAAGCATTGTCTTGGCTTGATTCTGATAGCAAATACCAAAACTCCCCTCTGATTTTAAAGTGTGGTTATAATGTTAAAAAAAAAAAAAGGGCCTGTAGAAGTTGCACATGCCAGTTCTTAGCTGCTTCCTGTATGTCTTTGACAATCTACTTTTGCTATCCGCACAGTCCAGTGTTTCCCTTCTGTTGGCCCAGGGGACCAGCAGGGTGGTGGGAGAAGGAGGCAGGTTCTGTTGCACCTTGTGCTTCACCAGGCCAGTTCAGAATGCAGACTTTTTTCACGGGGGCGAAGCACTGCTAGAACTTGGGGTTTTCAGATTCCAAATGGAGCTTTGCAGCACGAGCAGCTAAAAAAAAAAAAATTACGTTTGGACCTGTACGCTGATCAGACTTGATCTGGAATTTGTTATAAATAGGAGACCCCCACAAAGTACTTTTCGGAGTGTAACAGCAGTTTATTCTAGCTCTCATATAGGGTCGGAGATGGATTTAGGGTAAATCCGAGCATTAGATCAACTGGGAGGATTGGAACAGGGAGGAGCTGTGAATATCAGTCAAAAGCGAGAAATGATCCAACAGGCACCTAGAGAGATTATCAGTATAGGCCCTGGCTTGCCTACAGTGAACCCTAGCAAACTTGGGCCATAAACTTGGGCCAAATTTGAAATGAAACCAGGCAAGTTTTGCATGATTCTGGGTTTAATTGTCAACATTTTGTAGAGCTCTGTTAACAACCTGGGTCCCCTTCCCTCTTTTGGAATAACATTCTTCTCCCTCTCTTCAGGTGGTGGTTCTGGTGAATGATGTCCCAGCTAACTGCTCTGGTTCATGTTCCTTTCAGTATTCTCGGGAAGCAACTCCTTTAGTCAGCCATGTGGAGTATTCACTAGGTAACAGTATTTGCACTTCATGGGATGACTGAGCCATTACACGGTCAAAAGGGCCTCTCTGACATTAGAGATGGGCTCAAACCAAATATCTTGGGTCCAACCACCCCGGAACTTAGGACATTTTGGAATCTGTACCCAGTTCTGGATCTGAATTTTGCACCTGGCCCCTATTTCTACAATGGGCTAAAATAAAACCCTAGTTATGGGGGGAAAGCCCATGAACTTGGTGTTTTGGAATCTGCGTTCAGATCTGAATTTTGTAGTTTGGATCCATCTCTTTTAACTGTGTCCCTTACAGCTTTTGGAATTGTGTACAGCTTTGCAAAGGTTGCTTACAGTACTACCATTCTGATTGTTGCTCCCTGTGACAGAGTGCTGGGCAACAGCAGCTGGGCAAGCACTCTGGTCACTGCAGCTCTAATTAATTACTCCACAAGAGACCACATTAAGAAGAGCTGTGCCTAATTGATAGGCTGAGGAGAACCAAGAGGTTAATAATTAAGCCATTAGGCAGATGATACAAAAAGCCCAGGAAGGAAGTGGGGAAATGGATCAGAGGAAGCAGAGAGAGAGAGAGACTGCTTTTCCCTCTTTCTCTCAGGAGTTGAGGTCTCCCTGGGATTGTAGGTGTAACACTGTATAGAGTTTAAGGGTGGTGGAAACCAATATTATAAATGAACTGCATGGCGTGTTTTACCAGCAAAAAGGTCTTTGAGCAGTTTGTAGACTTGAGCAGGAGCCTGCCACACTCCCTTTACACTGCGTTGACATCATAAGCTTAGATTTCTGTTAACTTTTGGTGTTTGACTTGGTACCGCACAACATGCTGATTAAAAAATGTAAACGATATGAAACTAACATGGCACACATTAAATGAATTAAAAACTGGTTAACTGATAGTCTCAAAATGTAATGGTAAACAGAGAATCATCATCAAGTGGGTCTGTTTACAGTGGGTCAGTTCTTGGCCCTAGGTTTTTTAACATTTTTAATAATGACTGGGAAAATAACAAAATCACTGTGATAAAGTTTACAGATGATAAAAATTGGGGGGAGTGGTAAATAATGAAGAGGACACGTCACTGATTCAGAGCAATCTGGATCATTTTATAAACTGGGCACAAGCAAAGAATATGAGTTTTAGTATGGCTAAATATGTACCTATAGCAATAAAAAATGTAGGCCATATATACAGAATGGGGTACTCTGTCATGGAAAACGGTGACTCTGAGAGAGATTTGGAGGTAGGGGTGGATAATCAACTGAACATGAGCTCCCAGTGTGACACTGGCCAAAAGAGCTAATGCAATCTGGGATACATAAACAAGGGATCTTGAGTATCAGGACAGAGGTTATTTTTACCTCTGTCTCTGCACCCACTGCTTTAATACTGGATCCAGTTCTGGAGCCCACAATTCAAGAAGGATGTTGAGAAATTGGAGAGGGTTCAGAGAAGAGCCATGAGAATGATTAAATGATGAGAAAACATGCCTTATGGAGATAGACTCAAGGAGCTCAATCTATTTAGCTTATCAAAGAGACGGTTAAGAGATGACTTGATTACAGTCTATCAGTACTTACGTGGGGAACAACTATTTCATAATGGGATCTTCAGTCTAGCAGAGAAAGGTTAAACACGAGCCAAAGGCTATCAGTTGAAGCTAAACAAATTGAGACCAGAAATAAAGCATAAATTTATAACAGTGAGAGTAATTAACCACTGGAACAATTTACCAAGGGTTGTGGTGGATTCTCCACCACTGGCAATTTTTAAATCAAGGTTGGATGTTTTTCTAAAAGATGCTCTAGGAATAATTTTGGGGAAGTTCTATGGCCTATGCTGTACAGGAGGTCAGACTAGATGATTACAATGGTCCCTTCTGGTCTCAAATCTATGAAGTCCCCTCTGGCCCAAGCAGCAGGGCTGGGAAGACCCCTGAACCTAAAGGGGAGCTCTTTTGTGGTAAGCTGATTGAACTAAATTGGACCCCAGGAGAAGGGGACTGTTGTTTAAAGACTCTGGGTGTGAGTGGTTTATTTCTGAACCCTGAGAGCAGAGAGCCGTGCAGGGCCACACGGGACCACAAGGAGGTGTGGTCAGGCACATTGCCCCATGACAAAGCTTGATCTTCAGCTGTTGTACATCAGCATAACTACACTGAAGTCAACTGAGTTATGTTAAATCACACCGGGATCTAGTCCTATAGAATTAAACTGATGGAGGCCATTTAATTTTATAGCTTTCTTATCCCAGAATATAATATATAAGATGGACCGAGTATCACAAAAGCAGGACTAGAGATGGTCAACAATTTATCTGAAAAAAATTTACCTCTTTATTCAGTTCATCTGACAACAGATAATTGTGTGTGCTGTTCATCTGTTTGATGCACTGTCCAAGCAAACATATTTCAGCCTATAGATTGGTTGCAACCAATCTACTGCTCATGGTGTGTGATTGGTCACATAAGTCACACAATCTTGTTCCTAATTCCTACTACAACTCCCATGAGGCAATGTGTTGCTATGGAAATGCAGCTAAATGTCCTGCTGAAGGGATTCCAAATGAAACGTTTTGGGTGAGTTCATGAAAATGAAATATTCCAATTTGGGTTGAATGTTCCCGTGGAAAAAATTAAGTTTTGTGGGAACTGCATTTTCTGTTAGAAAAACATTCAGATGGAAAATTCCTAATCTACTCTGTTCTCACACGGTGTCTTGCAGCACTCACGTAGCTTTAGCAGAGACCAGAAGAAGGTATAGATTCAAGATGGAGGAAAACGATAAGCATAGGAGACCTCTGTTGTTTGTAGTGTAGTAGTATCTATGAACCATCATGGGTCAGGACCCCAATGTGCTAGGCACCATATCAGATCACAGTAAAAGTGCAAGAAAAGAGACAATAGGTGAATGTGACCGACTCGGGAGGAGCAGAGGGAAACAATTTTTTACATTGTGATGACGATAGTTTTGCTAGGCACTCGTATAACTAGGGTGATGTGACTGCCGTAAATGCTTAGGCACAGTTAGCCTAAGCAGCTTCGTTGTTCTTGGGAAGCAAATTTGGGTGTCATTACTTAGCAACAGATTTGTAATTTTGTTTTAATTTATCCTTCCAGCTGACAGACTCCACGCTAGAGTTTATATCACAGGGTCTGGCTTTGCTGGGGGTAGCCAAGCACTGCAGATAGAGGTGAACCACACGACCTGCCAAGTCATGACTTCAAATCAAACTGGTATAGTTTGCTGGATGAACGTGTTACCAATGGGACTGTACCAGGTTACATTACTGGTGAGACCGTATGGGTTTGCTCGCAATGCCAGCAAAGGACAGGGCATCTACCTGAGAGTTAAGCCCAGGCTGGAAGCTATTGAACCTCCGACAGCTTCAGAGATTGGTATGTCTGAATTCAATATAAGCTCTCACATGAATATCTGCCTTTAGCATTATTGCTTTTAATAGGGTGTCTTTTCAACATTTGTATATGGGGCTTTAGCGGCTCATCTCTCCACCTGACATGGGAGTGACCAGGCACATTACATGTGCCCAATGGAGTAAAGTTTAATTTCTAGGGGCAGTGTTTCTCAGGAAGATGGCAGCTGGCTCTGGCTCTTCACTGGGGGTGCTACATCTCCTGGCTAGCTGTCTTGCAGTGCAGATGGATATGGGTGTATGCTACAGCTCTGGATAGTGGTGAGAGTTTCATGGCTAATTTTCTCATGTCATTTTGAATGCGGCCTGCAAAGTGTAATAAATTACTACATTGTGTACTTTGAGTGACCAAATGGAAATTGTGTCTGTGGCTAGCTACAAAATCTACTGAGAAAACCTCAAAAAGCAAAGCCCAAACCAATATTTTCCCTCTCACCTTTAAAATATAAGAGGAAAAAGGAGGGCACTATCTCCTCTTTCTGAAAAAGAAACATTCCCAAGCTATTCATAGAGTTTAAGTCCAGAAGGCACCATTATGATCATCTAGTCTGACCTCCTGCATAACATAGGTCAGAGAATTCTACCAGGTGACTCCTGTATCAAGCCCAGGGAAGGGGCAGGGTAGATCCTGGGTTGCCCTTAGATTAAAAAAGTGATCTTGGGCGTAAAAAGGTTGGAGACCTATAGAGAGAATATTTTAGAAAGGTGTCCAATCTTGTTTTAAAGAACTTGAGTGAAGGATCTACCACATCCCTTGGTAAATTGTTTCAATGGTTAATCACCTTCGCTGTTAAACATTTATATCTTATTTCTAGCCTGCATTTATGCTTCCAGCCATTGAATCTCATTACAGCTTTCTCTGCTCAGTTGAAAAGTCTGCTACTATCAGATGTTCTCCTTGTGTAGTTACCTGTAGTCACCTCTTAATCTTCTCTTTGTTTCCTAAAGTCTGGTACACCTCTGAAAGCTGACCTATATATCAGCTTCAGTTAGGGGTCTGGTTTCTTTCTACTGACCTAATCATACCAGGACAAGCCCTATTTTGGATGCAGTTATACTGGTATAAAGGTGCCTTATATTGGAATAGCTGATTGCTCTCTATATCGGAATAAGCTATACTGATATAAGTGGGACCCACTGGTTGGTGTGTGTTATAAGTTCCGCTCCATGCTAATCTGCAAAGGACATGAGTAGCTGCCGCCTCTAGGGGCAGAGGTTTGGCTCATTAGCTCAAGTTACAGTGACTCATGCATTGATCTGTAGGGTCTCCCATTCAATCCCTGGTGTACTGGCCATAAAGACAGCAGTCTCAGAAGCACTTTTCTATTAGTATAACTGCTCCACACTGCGGGGGAGGGTTGTACAGCTTTGACTATACCAGTATAGTTAAACGATACTATTGTAGTTAAAGCAGTACAACACTTATCTGTAGACAAGCCTGTAATCTCTCAATGTAAGGCAAGCTTTCCAAACCTCAGATTGTTCTTGCAGCTATTTTCTGAAAGCTAGTCCATGGATCACCAGTGGCCTGCAAAACACTTCCTACTGGTCCCTGGAGAGCTGCCTGGTCACATGGTGTCAGTTTCTCCTGGTTTCCAGCTGCAACATCGCCTTAAAAGCCGCTAAAAATGCATTCAGTACTTCCCTAATGTTACTCTGCCATGTAAGAACTTCGGGAGTGGCCACAAGGACATTATTTGACCACTAGTGGGAGAGGAGGTGGCCTGGGCAGGCTTGATTGGCAGGGGAGGTGAGCCACATGGCAGTGAATGAGAAGGGAGATGGGTCCAGGAGACGCAGTGTCTATTGAAATGTGGTCCGCTCTATGATGAAGTTGGAAGTCACCTTGCTGTGGAGTTCTTAACCTGGGGGTTGTGAACAGGCTTCAGGGGTTCACAACCCCCACCTCCTTTCCTTATGGCTAGATGGAGTGGGGGTCCCAGATGTTTCTGTTCTTATATGGATGGGGTCCTGGTACAGGGAAAGGTTGAGAATTGCTGCTGTACATCATTTAAAAAGAAGTAGGTACAAAGCTTTGGCCTTGTTTTTTTCCTCTCACTACACGCCCAGTAATCCAACTCCTCTTCTGATTGCAATGATCTTTCACTCATTAAAAAGAAAAACAAGTATATTGTTATCCTACATTACACATGCTTTGAACATTTGTAATTGGAAAGAGTTACAGCTTCCATCTGTGTTTTTAATTTCTTCCATTAAAATGCCTCTCCAATTCTCTCAAAAAATGCACACATGATTTTGCATACGGATATCAGTGCAGATATCAAAACTTATGAGCATTAATGGATATAAAGTACACATGAATAGTGTACGCTTAATTTGGGGCTGTTTATCCTGCAGTCCCCACAGGAGAGACCTGGCTTAAGTTTTGAGTTGCGTTCCACTGTTGTAAACACAGGAAACTCAGACTTCTAGAGGGAGAGGCTACAGAGTATCTTCAAAAACAATGAGGAGTTCGGTAGCACCTTAAAGACTAACAGATTTATTTGGGCATAAGCTTTCATGGATACAAACCTCACTTCTTCAGATGCATGGAGTGAAAGTTTCAGATACAGGCGTAAATATACTGACACATGAAGAGAAGGGAGGTACCCTACAAGTGGAGAATAAGTGTTGACAGGGCCAATTCAGTCAGGGTGGATGTGGTCCACTCCCAATAATTTATGAGGAGGTGTCAATACCAAGAGAGGGAAAGTTGCTTTTGTAGTGAGCCAGCCACTCCCAGTCCCTGTTCAAGCCCAAAGTAATGGTGTCAAATTTGCAAATGAATTTTAGTTCTGCAGTGTCTCTTTGAAGTCTGTTTTGAAGTTTTTTTGTTGAAGGATGGCTACTTTTAAATCTGTTATTGAATGTCCAGGGAGATTGAAGTGTTCTCCTACTGGCTTTTGTATGTTACCATTTCTGATGACTGATTTGTGTCCATTTAATTTTTTACATACAGACTGTCTGGTTTGGCCAATGTACATGGCAGAGGGGCATTGCTAGCACACAATGTCAGATATAACACTTTCTGTACGCTGCACTTACAATGAAATCATTGGTTTTGTAGGAGGGTGCACAGTGATCCTCCGAGGGACTGGTTTTGATGGGGTAAGCCTGGTGTTGTTTGGATCTCAGCCTTGTCCAATTAACACCAACACCAGCAACTCAGTAAGGATTGAATGTGAAGTTCCCTCTCGGGTAAGAAACAGCATTTCATACTTGTCCATGTAGCCCAGTGGGCTAGCTTGCCTTCATTATATTTACTGAGTTGCATCATATTCTGCTTTGCATTATATTCAGCAGTAATGCAAGAAACCTACAGGCCTGTATACTGTAAGACATTAGCTTCAGCAAGTTGGCATAAGGTTTGACACCTCTGATCTTTGAACAGATAAACGGCCCAATGGAAAATCCCCAAGTATTTGGGGAGCTGAAAATAGAGTTCAAGGGAAAATTCTGACCACAGGTAAATAATTCAGCCACAGAAGTGTCCTAGCAATGAACTGATGTACATAATAGCTACATGAGATACATTTAAGGCTAGCCTGCTTGCTTGCCAAATGTATTCCTTTTCTTATTTTCTTATAGGTTTGATTATTTGTTTTTTTATAATAGGTTTATGTTAGGGTATATTTTGGCTGTAACACAAGGGACCTGCAGGCCACATCCTGTATGGTGAGCTAAGGCAAAGTTAGCATACATGTGTCTGGGACCTTTCACCTAGATAAATGGAGCTAAAGCATAAGGTCCATATATGACTGCAACTTTTAACATAGAGGATGCATTGAAATAGATTGGCATAGGGGCTTTCCTAAATTTAGACCCTTTTAAATGTAACAGGTACACCACAGAGCGTGGAAAGAACTGAAATAACCAGTTAGGACAAGAAATAGCAAATGTGATACCTAACCACAAAAGGGCCATGGTAACGAATTGACTTATGTAATAAGTTGAGATCATTGATATACTAACCTATAGGAAAAAGACTTTCCGACATCAATGAGGTGAGGAAATACAAATAAGGAGAAGGGAAAAATCCCCTACTGAATATGCATCAAACATAACGGTGTTAGTGTAACATATTATAAAAGAGACATCCCAACCTAGGGGCAGTAGGAGAGAGAGAAGTAGTCCTTGGGAGGTGCCAGAATGATGGCCACTGGTGGTGATGGGGAGGGTGATGATGAGGAAGATGATGGCTAACATTTTAGGTTGTTCTGCAAGGGCTGATGTGAGTATATGGATGTGCAGATGTACATTCTGTAGAATCTCTATCTACCTTACTAAGTTGGGGTGTTTGTGACTCTGCTAAATGTATTAATAAACTATATTTGTAAATATAAAAGAGTTCCTATATTGTGAGTGTTGCAACTGTACACATCAGGGTTCCCAACTATATAATAATTTAAATAATACTGGGCTTGATCTTGGGGCAAGAACCTGTCAACCCTCAAAGTGATAACTGGGGATTCTTAAGTAATCAATATAATTAATACATAATCTAAGATCAGGCTACACCCCTCTGGGGAGAATCACTTTGCAGGGGCGTGGGAGAGGCTCATGTGGCCCTTTCTTTTGTATCTATATGTTCATCACTGGTGGATTGCTTGCAGGCTACATGTGTCCAAGTGGTTAAATGATGTTCCAAGTCAATGATTGCAAACACCAGGCTCAGTAGTGAAGCTTCACACAAACAGAAGTGAGACTAGCACTACAGACTTTTGGCTCCAGCAAGATATGTCCATACCGTTTGCACTAAAGGAGACTCTCTGGCTGTTGTAGTAGTGTTAAGGCTCATATTCTCTGGAGGCACCCACGACTGAGCATCATAATCGCACACACTTGAGCAGAGGGCAGTGGTGGCCATACATGTTAGTCAGCACCTTGCCATGACCCGTCTTGGGTTCTACTTATGCTCTATGGATGCTTCTCTAGCTGATAAGCTCAGGTCAGGACATTAATGCCCTTAATCTTGCATGTAAGGGAAGGAGGTACTTGTATTTTACTAAGACATGTTAATCTCTGCTCTTTTTTCAAACTCTTTTTTCCAGGGGGATGAAGACTATGTTGTCCCTGTGACGCTAACCGCTGGGTCCCAGTCTGCCACGTTCCCCGAGGTGTTTAAGTACGATCCTTCTTTAAATCCAGCCGTTGTATCGCTGAGCAGAAACAGAAGCACCACAGCAGGTGACAAAGCCAGAGTCTCGAGATGCAAAGAGATGGCGGGTGTAAAAATCTAACTGCTCTAAAAAGTTTCATTTTCCATTGTTGCCAACAACGTGGGCAGGGCAGAGGTACTAGGTGACCAAGAGGGCTGGGCATTGCTGCTTGCACATGGAGCCTTTTACTCCCAGGTCACCAGTTCCAGTCTGGCCTTGTTCAGTCGTGAAGACTCTTGCCATCTGATGGTGCCCCTGTGGCCCATGTGAGAAGAGTCGTTGGTTTCAGCTTAATATAGCTGGGTGTCCATATTTATAAACCATCATCACAGCTGGGTGTCCTGCTGGCATGGTGAGCAGTCCAGGGATGAGAATGGACCATAGAGACTGACCTATCCTTGCGTCCCTGAGGTAATCCAAATTCAGGGCATAGTAGCATGTGTGTAGTGTGGGGCCAGGAATGAGGAAGAACTTGCTTTGCTACTGTCCATACTATACCTGTAATAGGGGGTGTAATAACACACCTCTCATCACTTTTCATCAGTAGATCTCAAAGCACTTTTGAAAAGAGATCTGGCTGAAAAGTTTCTGATGAAACAGTATCTCAGGCCAGGATCGAATTTCTGGAAAGAGAGAGAGTAGCCCCCACAGACTAGTCAATAGCTCAGTGATTAGGGTACTCAGTATGATATGGGGAATTGAACATGGGTCCTCTGTCTGCTAAGTGACTGACCGAATGACTAAACTATTGGCTTTTCTGGGTGTCCTTTCTCTCTCTCTCTCTCTCTCTCTCTTTTTTTTAAATGAAAAATCTCAAATAGGCTCATTTTCATTCTGTAATGGAACAAAACTGTCAAAACATCCAAATGTTTCAGTAAATGGAATTCTTGTTTTCTGGCCAGCCCTACTAAGTATCATTAATCCCAATTTATAGGTGGGGAAACTGAGGCACAGGGCAGTCAAGTGACTTGCTCAAGGTCATCCAGCAGACCAGTGCCAGAGCAGCACCCAGGTCTCCTGAGTACCAGGCTCTATACCTTAGGCCATATTGCCTCTCAGAAAGCTTCAATTCTCAAGCCAGCCTCATACTGCTCCCCATCTGAGCACATTCCATGTAAAATCAATTGTTGTAGCGAAGTCCCTAGTGAACTTGATGGACTCTCTAGCATCTCCATTTTCAAGGCCAAAACTCTGCTTGGGGTAGAGTTTGCATGTTTAATTTATCTTTTATGAATTTCTTCTCTTTAAATGTTGTTGGTTGCTCAGAGTTGAAGGTTACATGGGGTGTCAGTGGTGTGAGTGTCACTTTTATTGTGGAAAGGCATTTCTGAAGGGGGAAAGGTTTCGCAGCCGACAGCCAGGCTCTGGATTTGCCTGATTTCCTCTGTCAGCTTGCTCCATGGCCAGCTCCAACACCTTCTGCAAATATGCAGTTCACTGAAAATAAAATAGTGGAGACCATGTCCCTCTGAAAACTTAGCCCATTGGATGTAAATATTTACTAACTTCATCTTCTGCCCCCATTATCACTTTTTTTCAGTTATCTTAAGTGAGTAGTTTCCTGATGCTGTAGCCTTTTGTTTTTAGCAAATATTTCCTGGGCCAGGAACATTAAAGGTGCTCACGCCAGCCTACTATATCTAGAACGTAACACCTCCTTTCTCTCTCTGAGGAGACAAGTATTGCCAGTCAGCAGCAGCCTGGTTATTGCCATGGTTATATATTGGGGTTGGACTGAATGATCTGGACCAAGAGGAAATTGGAGAGTGGGGAATCAGTTACTGACCGCAGAGCCAACACAGCGAGCTTAGTTTAGCAGACAAAGGTTAGAGACAGCCTTATAGCTTATAGACTTCAAGCAATAGCTTATAGATATTTGGCATGTGAGGTTGCAGCCCAAATGCAACGGGCAGGCGGTGTTGTGTTAGATAGATAGATAGATAGGGAGCTGGACTGGAAGTCAGCTGGGTTCCGGTCCCAGCTCTGTTGTTGAGCTGCTCTCTGACAAGTCACTTCACCTCTCCTATCCATTTACCTGGCTTGTGTATTTAGGTTGTAAACTCTCTGAGGCAGGAGCTGTTGTAATACCGACAGTCCCTGGTCATCGGTGGGCAGGATCAAACTGGGGATCTCTGGAGCTTACTGCATGAGCCTCTACAGCATGAGCTAAAAGCCAACTGCCTGTTAGCTAAGGCTGTAGAGCAAACTCCTTAATCTCTCGCTCTGAGTGGTCTCGGTGCCACTAGATGGGACAGAACACCTCACCCAGGAGGTGTGTGGGTTACACTGTCTCTTAGGATGTGTCTGTACCGCACGAAGGGCGGTGGGGTTCTGATCTCAGTGGGGTCTCAACGTACTACTGTAATATAAATACCACTGCCACGTGTTGCCAGCCCAAGAAGATACCTGTGGTCTGAGATCCCGTTCTTGGGCAGGGGGACGTGTCTGAGTTTGACCTCACTCCTTGAGATTGCCCAGAAGACCATGTGATGTGGGACCCAATTCCAGGAGCACGGGCAGAACGTTGTCCGCAGCAGAACCGGAACCCAACCATTTCACAATCATCACAGCCCTATGGTATCGTTTCATAGAGAGGGAACAGGAATGAAGAGTGGTGGAATAGGGAGGGGGAAAGGAAGAACAGACCCTCCCATCCCCACACCGTCCTGTCTTTCAGTTTTTTTCTTTTCTCATCTGTCTTTCGAGCCTATCCAATCTCTCCACTATGCACTAAAATAAAACTCCCCCTAGGCTCACCACCCTGGCTGGACGTAGCACCAATGCGAGAGGCGAGCTGATCACCTTCCTTACTGCACACACAGAGTTTCTGTTCCATTTCCCTCTCCCCTTTTCATTTTCTAATACTGCAGAATGCCTAAATAAGGGAAAGTGTCCTTTATCGTCTGAATATTATTCAGATACGATAACACCAAAGGGAGATTTTTCTAGCCGCAGGCAGCACAAGTGTATGGAACTTCTTAATGTCATAGAATCTCATGAATGGTGATGGTACTGGGGGTTTAACCTCTTATTCAGAAGTCGGCTTTTAATATAATTTTCCTCCTATCATAAAAATAAATAAATGACACCAATGCCTTCCAGGCATTTTCGGATTAAGCTGACAATTGACCGAGAGTCCAAAGAGTTCAGGTCATTGAAAGTCTGTGAAGTTGTATATATTAAAGTTTCAAACTTTATTTGACTGTGATGGCACTGAGCCCACTTAGAGAAAGTTAAATGAGTCTGCTCTACAGCCTTAGCTAACAGGCAGTTGGCGTTTAGCTTCTACTGTAGAGGCTCATGTACTAAGCTCCAGAGGTTCCAGGTTCGATCCTGCCTGCCGACGACCGGGGTCTGTTGGTGTTCCATAAACAGGTTTTCAGTGAACTCTTCCCTGACATCTGGCAATGCACTGGGAGAAAAGACCTCAGGAGCAGATTGTATTTGCACAGACACACCGACTCTGCCTACGTGTTCAGCAGCCAGGACTGCTTTGCCAAAGTGATTGGTTTTGGGTTACAGTTCACTTTAGTATTGAATTCAGGGCTAATGAAGTGTTGTTATCCTTATTGGATGAGTGTTGGGCAGCAGGACGGTACTTAGCCTGCCCTGATTGAAGGGGTCACCCTAAACTGAACCTCACTTGCCAAGTGGGGGGAGGGGGGGTCGGGATGCCAAATCCCAGTGAGAACAAGAGTGGGTTGGGACAGATGTTCTTGTGGTGTGGTATGGACTCTGCATAAAGAATCCTAGACAACATTTGACCCTCCGCTCCCCTAAAGACAGAGCTGATGGAACCGTTTTTCTGCTCAGTTATTACTAGAGCTGAGTTCCCTGATGAGCAGATCTAGGGGCTAAGGCTTAGACCTGGTCTGGGGACAGTGCTGCAGTAAAAGACAATGAACAGGCAGCTGCCCAGAGGTTGCCCACCACCCAGTTTGAAATCACAAAGAGTTGAACTCAGTCAGAACGAGGCTAAGTGGGGGAACCTCAGAATACGGCATCATAGAAGTGGCAGCGAGCAGCCAGGGAAGGGTGGCAGAGATAACAGCGGCAGCTGTGTTGAGCCAGTTGCAGAGGTGGAGGTGTCATCTATGCCTGCTTGGGGGGGGCATTCTGTCCCCCTTTTGTAGTGACTAGGCCAGATAGAGATGAGCCTGCTACAGCCTGGGCTAAGAGAGATGTGTCTTTTAGCTCAGGCAGTAGAGACTCATTGTATTAAGCTCCAGAGGTCCCAGGTTTGATCCTGGCTGCCGCCAACTGGCATCTGCTGGCATTACAGAGGCATTACTCAATGCCCCCTTCCCCTTTTTTCAGGGGTGGGAGGTGGACCTATGTGAATGCATTGCTGAACTCTGGGTCTTCGCTGACTAAGGCAACCGACTGTGAGTGGGATGCAGTGGAGGAGAAGGGGAGTGGTGTGTTAAATGGATATTTGTTTGTCAAACTTTCCTGCTGCAAGGTGGAAAACTGAGCAAAGGACACTGCCCAATGTACTATGGATGGGTGCTTGATTATGGTTACATACTTTTGAATTGTAGTTGTGGTGTTTTCACCAATGAATGCTGGATTCCCTTTCCCTCTTTAATAAAAGTTTTCTTTTGTTATACACGGATTCAGTGCTTGTGGTCTGCAATGCAGAGTTAGGTCGATGAAAGGCAGCTTATGTTGATCTAACTATGGAAGCGCCCACACTTAAATTTTGCTCCCATTGAATTAACTACCCCACTATGCCAACTTACTAACGCCACCTCCATGAGCAGCTTAGAGTGAGGGTCGATGTAGTGATGTAGATACAGTGCCAACGTAGACACTGCGCTGCTCATGTCGACCGTCACTGGCTTTCAAGACCCTTCCCACCATGCCCCACGCCGACAGTACAATCGATACAAGCGCTCCTGGTGAGGGTGCGCACTGATGACACAAGGAGCAAAGTGTAGGCATGCACAAGCGGCGTAAGTACTGAGGCAGCTGTATGCTGACGTAAGTTAGGTCGACTTAATTTCGCAGTGTCGATGTGGCCTCTGAGGTGCCCAAGAGTGGTGTTTAGTTTTCCCAGGTTACTGGATGGGGGCTCGAGCTGGTTCTGTTTTGCTTTGCTAAGAAGAATCTCTTTTTGCTGTTGACTCCATCTGGCAGAAGAGTTACATTTACATATAGAATTGGAAAGTACCTGCTTCAAACTCTGCTCAGAGGGGCCGGTGGCTGAGAGAAGCTTAGTCCAGTTCCTACTGCCTCATTAAAGGGAGTGGCTTCTCTTTAGAATGAAGGTTATAAAAGCCCCCAGATTGAATCCTAGCTGTGGTAATGCACTGGAGAGGCATCTGCAGAGACAGAAAGATCAGTGCCTGACTAGGAAGTCTGTGTTTATTAGTTAAGTGGGCTGGGCTACCCATCAGTAGACACAATGACTATCTGAATCAGACTTGCTTTATCTAAGGGAGCTGGATAGCACAGAAGAATGTTAATGGAATATTAAACTTTTCAATTTTACATAACTCAACCAACCTCCACACCCCAACCCCAGCAAGACTATTGGCTAAGTGGCCTTTGTGATGTAGGTTTGGTGGTCACAGTCCAGTTGCTAGTGCAGTGGGAAGGCGTCAACATCTCGAAAAACTGCCACCCCAGTTGGCAACTTGACTAGAGAGGCAAAGGGATGGATGGGGGCCCATGGAGACTAACATTCACTTTTCTAGAAGAGGCCCTCTAGCCCAGGGTTGATGCGAATGGGCAGGACAGTGTGCCAAAGAAACTTGCATTGCTACAGCTTGTGTTGTGAAGAGACTTCTCTTGCTCTGACACTTGCCGATGCACTAGATTCACGGTATCAACAAACAATTCGACTGCTTCATGTGTTCTCCTTTCCACAGGGCACCAGTCACTCCAGATTAGAATATCATCATTCGCAAATTGTACGGGCCTGGATGTACAGGTCAAAATTGAGGACACAGTGGCACAGATCCAAGCACGAACAGCCTATGGCGTCGATGTAGAACTGCCTGCTCTGGCAGATGGATGGTACAACCTTTCTGTCATCATCAATGGCATTGCAATTGGCTCACATGGGTGAGTGAATGTGCCTGTTCCCTCAAGGATGTGAACTTCATTAGCTAAATTCTACTTGGGATTTTAGGGTTAACGGAAAAGCAAAGATAACATGGGCTCGGTAAGAGAGCCCGCTTGCTAAGAAAGAGCTCAGCTGTATGTTTTATAAATTATTAGCAATTACTACGACCCTGATTCAGGAGTGAATCCCTGTTCTTTAGTCCCACTGCAGTCAGTAGCACTATGCACTGCTTCAGTAGTATTCGTAATACCTGTCCCTTCATGTTGCTCTGTAAGGACCCTGACCAGCTAGTTACATGCCTGGGCTCCAAGGGGAGAGAGTCTTCGTGGACTGGAATGATAATGACTTGTAAGAGGGCACCAGGGAGATGGCATGGAACCAAGCAGGAGACGTAGGGAGGCTATTCAGGGATCTGGCCAGGAAAGGCAAGGGGAGAAAAGCATGTGGGACAAAAAGGAAAAGTAAAGGACTGATCCTGTGTTTGTGTTTTGCAGAGTTGATCCATTCATCCAGTACACCACTGAGATCCTTAGCATAGAGCCCTGCTGTGGCTCCATTCTGGGTAAATACAGCTCTTAATTTGCAATGGAAGAGGTGCTGGGGCTCAAGCAATTTTTTTTTTTTACTTTCATAATTTATGCGGCAAGCCCAGAGGTGCTGGAATTATGAACTGCTGAGCTAGGAGGTGCCGGGATTTAGCCCTGGCACAAATTAAGCACTGGGTAAATAGCATCACCACTTCTGGGGGCCATCAAGGGATCAAGGACTCCTCTCCCCTCTGTGACTGGGAAGGACGTCCAATTTCACATCTGTTCAGATGACGGCATTTGTAAATGTGTGAACCCTTATTATGTGGACTTGTATTGACAGGCAGCAGCTGCCTGCCAGGAACTCTCTGGGTGTGTGTGAGTATATTGAGCAGACCACTTGTGGATTGTCTGTCTAATATTGGAACAAGTTGGCCATAGGGTTGATGACAAGATCCCTTGTCCTTTGAATTTGTTTCCCCTCATGAATGAACCAAATGAACAAAAACCACTCACACTTGAATAACTGGTGCTGGCTTTTTCAGTCCGGAGATCCCAGGGTGTAACATTAAATGTGCATATGTCTTTGAAGTACACGAGGAGTCCCACTAGGACTAAAGCTGACCATAAATCTTTGCAGGGTCATGGAGTGTCTCTATTGTTTTGCTGTGTAGCAGATATGGAGGCAATGAACATTTTAAGTTGTAGACAATTAAGTTGTAGATTTTGCTCTGTCTCACACCAGTGTAAATCAGCAGTATCTCCACTGAACTCAGTGGAGCTCCTCCAGTGTAAATCTGGAGGTAGGAAAAGGAGAATCTGGCCCTAGTGGGTGAGAGGGGATGCATAGTCTTGTGCTTGAAGTGCAGGACTGGGAGCTAGAAACTCATGGATTCTATGGATTGCCTTAGCCAAATCACTTAACTCCTCTGCTGGCCATAATCATAGAGGGGCTCTGTGTTGATTCATTATTTACAGTGTCAAATATTATTCAGCTTTGAGAGCTGATGCCAACTTAGATATAGCAAAGCCCATCAAACTGGAAGGTTAAATCATTAAAAACGTGGATTGTAGAATAATTATCTTTTTAGAAGTAAATTCAAGGTTTAAGAAAAACTTGATTGGTTACGAATGATGTTCAGCTCCAGCTGCATGCCAGGCACGTTACCGACGAATGTGGAGACCGGGATGCTACTCCACAGAGTGTACTATCTTGGGATCGGGATGCCTCAGAACCAGTGTTGAGCGAAAAAGCTGGCCAAGTCATACTAGTTCCACTTTGTTGTTTTTTGAGAGGACCGGGGTTTAGTGACTTGACAAAAAGATGTATTAAAACTTTCTAGAAAGTCGCATAGGATAGCCAGTGAATAGTCTATAGTCCAGGGCCACCTTCTTTAATTTGCAAAAAGAAAAGGAGTACTTGTGGCGTCTCTAAGGTGCCACAAGTACTCCTTTTCTTTTTGCGAATACAGACTAACACGGCTGTTCCTCTGAAACCTTCTTTAATTTGGAGGACTATCCCACACAGTAACTACAGGCTGCAGCATGGGATGCACCACTTTGAAGTCAGTGGAGGCTGATTGGCTCAGGATGGAGTATTGCAAGCTGGGATATGGAGTTTCACATGGTGCATCTTTGTATTAAAGATGACAGTAGTGGCAATCTGCTCAGTTTTATGCCATTAACATGTGGCCTCTTGATGTCATGGCAGGTTACCAATACAGCCTTGAATTGGGCAAGATTTGGGCACACCTTGCTATTGGGTCCTCCAAAAACTGTCATGTTAATGGAGCTATCAACAAATTATATAGCTCCTAGGGAGAGCTCTCTTGCTGAAGCACTTGCCAAAGATCTTTGCTGTGTTTAGGCTTGGAATAAAGGAATTTAGGCCTGTGTTATAGCAGCTGAAAGTCTGAGCTCACCCCACTGATTTGCTTAATCCTCTTCCTAGCAGACAAAGGGTTAGCTTTGGTGATGTCTGCACTGCAGTCTGATATTTTTCCACCACTACATGGTGTTGCATCACAACCTCATGTGCAAGTTAGTTCATGCCACTCTGCACAAGGAGGAGGGGCAAGCCCATACTCCAGGGATGTATAGCTGGAATGCAGCTGCCAGGCAAACAGTGATCACAGGGTAAAGTGCCCAGTTTTGAAGAATCCTGTGCTCAGCAAACCTGTCCTTAGAATGCAGGAATTAGAATTTTTCAAACTCTCGCTGCTTTCCCCATGTTAAATTGTTAAATGTTACACACTGGGATGCAGTGGTGCGGGAGGGTTCAATGTAGGAAGCAGTGTCATATAAACTGTGGCGATCAGGTGCCAATGAACTTCGTTTTAAGGGCAGAAGAGGCTGAGACAATGCAGCTGTAGAAATCTAAATGGAGTTTCGCCATATTAGAATTCACTCTGAGCTGATTCCATGGTGCTAACCATTTGATTTGATCTGTACCCCTAGGCGGAACAATCCTCACAATCTCTGGAAAAGGCTTTAGCCAAAACCCTTCCCAGCTTTTAGTCTTTATAGGCACGCGAGCCTGTGATGTTACCCGCTTGGTGGAAGAGACAATATGGTGCCAGAGCCCACCGGCTGCTGATTTCTCCAATATAGAGTCCCAGGACATCTCGGCACTAGTGGGGGTGTTCATTGGTAACAGATCCTCTCCACTCCTTCCCTCCTGGAGCTTCCCAAAGAGGAATATCACCTTTACTTACCAGATGGCTTTGACTCCGGTAGTTACCTCTGTGGAAGTAGAAATGAAGAATGACAGCCTGTGGCTGGGCATAGAAGGAATAAATATAACTGGTTCAGTGGCTAAGCTGGGAGACTCTGAATGTGAGCTGGAGTTTCAATGCGCGAATGAATCCACAACCCTTTCTCAATGCTCCTTCCCACTGAGCACTCTGGAACCTGGGATCCATCCCATCAGAGTTCTTCAGAAGCAGCTGGGCTATGCCAACGTGACAGCTGCACTGCCAAACTTTACATTAGTCCCAAAGGTAAAGGCCATAATTCCATCACAAGGCTCAGCTTGTGGTGGGCTGTTGCTCACTATATCCGGTCTTGCTCTAAAATCCAGGAGGAATTCAGTTCATGTGAGCCTGACGGGTAACTATACTTGTGAAATCCACAGTGTGGATTACAATAGGATCAGCTGTGCTCTTCTTCCAAGGGAACCTCCTCTGGGTGACTGGTGGTTGCCTGATGCATCTCAAGTCCTTAATGTCACAGTGACTGTAAATGGAATCCACAGCGTCTGCCTCACAGACTGTGCACTCCACCTTCTGAAAGAGTGGACCCCTAGAGTAGATGCTGTGGTCTGGGAGATCAATGGGACATTGTCATCTCTGCTGATCAGAGGCCAGAGATTAGCTTTGGCAATTGATGAACTTGTGATACAAGTGGACAACTGTGCCTCTTGTAACATAACTTTCTGGAATGAGACCACCATAAAATGCCAGACAGGCAGCCTTTCCCCAGGTGAGCACAGCCTTTCTGTGTCCAACAGAAGAAGAGGGCATGCTTGCTTCAGCAGGGATTCCCATATCTTCACCGTCATTCCTTGTGTGCTCAAATTTTACCCACAAAATTTCAGTACCAATGGTGGGGGCCTTCTTTCCATACAAGGGGCAGCACTGAAAGGAAGGAACAGCACTTCCATTCTTGTTGGGAACCGACCCTGCCTCATTACAGATGTCAGCTATGTAGTTCTCCGGTGCTCTGTTCCTCTGGGCAATGGAATCCATGCTTTAGCTCTAGAAATAGATGGCATCTCCTACCACCTTGGTGAAATAAGTTACAGTGAAGAGTTCACCCCCATTTTCCTTTTCCTTTGGCCTCCGGTGGGTCTCCTTTTAACAATGACCGTGTCACGGATGACAGGGGTGGAAAGAATGCACGTTTCCATTGGTAACTCCCCCTGCACCAACATCACTGGCAATCACACCACTTTGCAGTGCTCGGCTCCCAGGCTTCCTGCTGGAGAATACCGGGTCTTTGGCGGCGACTTCCTCCGAGGCTGGGCTTCGTCAAACTTGACATTCACCTCTCAGCTTACTGTCACATCCACATGCAACAACTGGGGTAAGTGCATGAGTGGCTCTGGATGACTGTCTCTGGGTAATAGCAGTGACAGAGATGTCACAGTTTGTATTTGGAGTTTGTAAGAAAGGAAATCACTAGTGACCCCTCTCCCTTCGACAAACGCACCAAAATCTAGAGTATCGGGGGAGTGAATGTGGCCTGATTTGTTTCTTCCACAGACTATGAGCAAGTGTCCTGGCTGGGGGTCTGTCAGCTGCTCACATGCTAAATTCTCTTGATTTTCAGGAATTGATAATGTGAATTCCCACAGTATTCTTGCCAGCAAGTTAAAGAAGTATGGGTTGGATGAATGGACTATAAGGTGGATAGAAAGCTGGCTAGATCATCTGGCTCAACGGGTAGTGATCAATGACTCCATGTCTAGTTAGCAGCTGGTATCAAGCGGAGTGCCCCAAGGGTTGGTCCTGGGGCTGGTATTGTTCAATATCTTCATTAATGATCTGGAGGATGGCGTGGACTGCACCCTCAGCAAGTTTGTAGATGACACTAAACTGGGAGGAGAGGTAGATACCCTGGAGGCTAAGGGTAGGATACAGAGGTCCCTAGACAAATTAGAGGATTGGGCCAAAAGAAATCTGATGAGGTTCAACAAGGACAAGTGCAGAGTCCTGCACTTAGGAAGGAAGAATCCCATGCACCGCTACAGACTAGGGACCGAGTGGCTAGGCAGCAGTTCTGCAGAAAAGAACCTAGGGGTTACAGTGGACGAGAAGCTGAATATGAGTCAACAGTGTGCCCTTGTTGCCAAGAAGGCTAATAGAATTTTGGGCTGTATAAGTAGGAGCATTGCCAGCAGATCGAGGGACATGATCATTCTCCTCTATTCAGAGTTGGTGAGGCCTCATCTGGAGTACTGTGTCCAGTTTTGGGCCCCATGCTACAAGAAGGATGTGGAAAAACTGGAAAGAGTCCAGCGGAGGGAAACAAAAATTATTAGGGGTCTGGAGCACATGACTTATGAGGAGAGGCTGAGGAAACTGGGATTATTTAGTCTGCAGAAGAGAAGAATGAGGGGGGATTTGATAGCTGTTTTCAACTACCTGAAAGGGGGTTTCGAAGAGGATGGATCTAGACTGTTCTCAGTGGTAGCAGATGACAGAACAAGGAGTAATGGTCTCAAATTGCAGTGGAGGAGGTTTAGGTTGGATATTAGGAAAAACTTTTTTTCACTAGGAGGGTGGTGAAGCACTGGAGTGGGTTATCTAGGGAGGTGGTGGAATCTCCATCCTTAGAGGTTTTTAAGGTCAGGCTTGACAAAGCCCTGGCTGGGATGATTTAGTTGAGGTTGGCTCTGCTTTGAGCAGGGGATTGGACTAGATGGCCTCCTGAGGTCCCTTCCAACCCTGATATTCTGGACAATATTGCTCAGCTATAGTTTCCATCACAGGGACCTACTCCTTTTAATTCAAGCTGTAGAGGCTCACGCTTTTAGCTGTGAAGGCCCCTGGTCCAGTCTCCAGTGGTGACCAAGATGTCAGGTGTTACATCAGATTGTGGTATTAAGTCACTGCCCTACACTAGGGGTTATGTGGAGTTGAATTACCCAAGTGGGAGCTCCAAGAAATGTAGGAGAAGCATATCACTTGCAAGATCCCTGTGGGTGTTGTAGCCTGATTACCCCGAATGCCTTGCTATCTTCATGGTCTGGAGCATAGGGCTATGGACCTGCCTACTCCCAGCTCCCTTTGGGGGTGTATTTCATCCCCCAGGGTACATGGAGGAACCAGCAGTCCTTAAATTTTGTCTCTGAGTGGGGTGTTAAAGGTAGTGCAGCATCGCAATCACCCCTCACCCTCTGTAGAGCCGTGCAAGATGCAGTGGCCAGAGATGATCGTGCTCCAAGTATTAGTTGTGGATAACTGAGGCACATCTGTGATGGCCTTTCCCTTACCCATAATGCAGAGTGTAAAGGCAGATTTTGAAGCCCTTGTAAATTGAGGCTGCAGTTCCAAGCTGGTCTCGTTAATGGCCAGTCATGACGCTCTGTTTTCAATCCCTTTCTCTATTCTCTTCCTAGGTGGCCTGGGTGGAGGGGCAATGTGCATGCACGGCACTGGGTTTGCCCCAGGAAACACCTCCGTGACCATCTGTGGCGCTCCCTGTGAAATGCGAGGTGACACCACGACGACCTATGTGAGCTGCCTTGCCCCACGCTTGGACGGTCAGTTACCATGTTGGGCTCAATAATGAACCCGCCTAAAATCTATCCCCGACCTCAAACAAATGTCCTGGATTCCCATTGCAAAAAATCCCAGCGTGAATTAGGAGAGGCAGGGGCATCTCTGATGGCTCAAAAAGTGCCATGGAGAAGGGAGAGGAGCCAACATGGCAGTGGCCACCGCATCCTGACCCTCCTCCAAAATCCCACTGATGTCCATGGGAGTCTTTCTATTGATGTCAGTGGGCTTGGGTCAGGCCCTCTCTGGAAACACTACATGCTCCCAGCTTTGTGTGTGTGGGAGATGTGATAAGAGACGTGGCTGGATGACAGCCTTTCTCTGCAGCATCTTTCCCCTGGGAACAAGCCAGCAGAAGCACCTGCACCTTCCTTTTCTCTGTGGCAGGAGGTAGGGAACGGGGTGGGAGGAGACTATGGCATGCAGGGTATTATTACTGGCACTGCAGTAGCTTCTACAGGCCAGGGCCCCATTGTGCTAGGCAGTCTACAAACATATGACAAAGAGATGGTCCTGCCCCGAGCGGCTTACAATGTAAGTACCCCCAAACTACTCTAAGGGTAGCCCAAAGAGTAGGTTGGAGGGGCTAAGTGAGTACCATGAGATCTGTATGTAACATGGACAGACCCCGATCGTTGGTGGGCAGGTTCGAACCTGGGACCTCTGGAGCTAAATGCCACATGGCTCTTAGCTAAGGCTGTAGCAGACTCAATAATCTCTAAGTGCTCTCCGTGCTACGAGAGGGGACAGAGCACCACACCCAGGATGTGTGTGGGTTACATACTTTTCCTAGCTGAGGAAGCGTGTCCGAAGCTTCAGAGACTTTCTAGTTGATATCCTGGGCAAGCCCTGACTTGTAACACTGACAGACTCTGGTCATCGGGGCGTGAGATTGAACCTGGGACCTCTGGAGCTAAATGAATGAGCCTCTACTGCATGAGCTAAAAGGCACATGGCCCTTAGCTAAGGCCGTAGCAGACTCGTTAATCTCTAAGTGGTCTAGGAGCCACTAGAGGGGATAGAACACCACACTCAGGAGGTGTGTGGGTTACATGTAATATTTCTTTAAATTCTACAGACCTTCCTGAGGTCAAAAGTCCATGGCCTCTGCTCCTCCATGGATCTGTAAATCCCTCCCACCCTATGGGGTGATGCTATGAGAATATCTGTGACTACCAACCTGTGGAATTCCCACTTGTCGTTTTGCCTCATTCTCTGGGTTTCTCTATAAGCAATCTCAAAATACAAACCAAACCAAAACTGTGTGTGTTTGAATGTGGGTGGGATGAACCTGAGATACTGTAAATAATCACTTATTTAAACAGGATTTGGGAACAGTCGTAGGAACTGTCCTTTAAGCTCTGTCCTGGGAACTGGAATATCTCATGTTAAAAGACTCAGTGCTTGAATGAGGGAAGGGGGAGACTGGTTATTTAAGAAAAAGAAATAGTCTCAATCATTTTATTGTATTTTATTCTGTGAAAACATGAAGAATGGTGTTTCTAAATTTATTGTGCTTTGGACCATGGCTGAGGTGGAGAGAATATGCTTGTCCAGACAATACTTCAAATGGGCACTAGATGTCAGCAAGTGACTGTATCAAAGAGTTTCTTCGTCATTTAGTTTGGGGAATTGAGTTGGGTAGGTTGCACTTCCCACTAAACAGACAAATAAGACCTTTCCTTGTTTATTGCTTGGCTCTTCCTGAATGACGATATTTATTTCATATCCTACCCAATATGCTGTTGAGAAGGCTAACTTCTCTCTTTCTCTCTCTCTCACCTACCCTCTACCAGTGATGATCTGTTACACTTAGAAAAATATTTGTTTTTTCTGGTCAAGAAACAAACTAAAAAACAAACTCACGCTAGTTTAGGGGCAAGTAGATATTTGCAATGCTGGTATAGGCACATAAACATAAATATATAAATGTTTGTAGACACAAACTCAAATGCGTTCATCTCTCGCAAACATACCACAAATGGTAAAATAGCTTGATATTCATATTTTCATTAGAATTCTATTTGCAGGTTATATTTTTAGATAATAATTGGCCTGCCAAAGATCTTTTTAATCTAGCCTCACATCTGCCGTTTACTTTGTGCTGTTCTCTGGGAGTTTTACATCTGTGATGTGCTGGCTGGCCTCTACCAGCTAGACTAGTGAGCTGTTGACATGCAGAGTTCCCTTTTGCTAGCCTCATTCGCTCAGCAGAGAGGTTCCTAACCACTGCAGTGGTACAGAGAGACAAGCTGTGTACAGAGGCCTAGGGGACATGATTTTGGGGCCTTTGCTACACTTCAGTACAGAGGCACGTGCACGCAGATTAGAAGCATGTTTGATGTTTCCTGGCTGTGCTCTGTGCCTGGGACTGGGGAAGTGGATGGATGTATTCCTCTGTTACATCACATCCTGCTGCAGAAATACCTCCCCTTCATGTATTTTTATGTAGACCGCACAAACACAAAGTGCCTTTGAATGATTCCACCAACTGCAAATATTTTTTTTTAAGTCATAGCATGTGAGTTTCATTTTATTTTTAATATTTTTCTTGCTGCTTATAGACTCATAGATATTAAGGTCAGAAGGGACCATTATGATCATCTAGTATGACCTCCTGCACAATGCAGGCCACCGAATCTCACCCACCCACTCCTGCAATAAACCTCTCACCTATGACTGAGCTATTGAAGTCCTCAAATCTTATCTATCTAAGGTACTTATTTGTGAGAGATCATGGGTCTTGAATGTGGGTTGATGGGTCCCCAGGCAGTCCTCGGACTGCTGGTACCAGCAGGGAATGTGGACTGGTGGGTCCCAGCGCACCAGAAGCATGGACCACAAAGCTCCTAATTGGAGGAGAGGCCTGGCCTCTCTGATTGGCTCGGTCTCGCTCTTTAAGCCAGAAGGAGGCACAGGAAGTTCTTGGAGCAACTAGGTGAATCTCTAGCTGAGTGCTACATGAGACCTTGCCCTCTCACCTGATTCTTGATCTTTGCCTGGTTCCTGCCTTCCTGCCTTGTTACAGATCCCTGCTTCTGTGCCCCCCCCCACCCCCCGGCTACTGTCTCCAGTTCTAACCTGGGACCTGGCTCCGTCTCTGGCCTGGCTCCGTCTCTGGCTCTGACTCCTGATCTGGTGACTACATCTGACCACCACTGCTCTGACCACTGGGACTGACTCCCTACATCCCAGTCCATGGCAATTTGCTTGGACAACCAACCTCTCTGAGCAGGTCTGGCTCTTTATGCCAAGGAGTGCTGGCCCTGCATGAGCCATTAAGCCCCTCCAGATGGATAACCAAGCCATGCAGCACAGATTTCGCAGCTGATTGTCAAGAATCGGGCACTGCAGGAGTAAGTTTATCATGCTAGCAGACACGTTTGTGCAGCCTACAGTTGAAAATGAACTGTCTGAGAAGCCAGTAGGCTGGAGAAGCTGAGTTTAATTAATCCCATGTCAGAGTGAGATCTTATATAGCAGATGATCTGGACACCACAAAGCCTAAAACATGGTGGCAGGGGTAATCAAGTCCTAGACAGTGGGGAGGCCCTTCAGAGCAGCACTGCAGAGGGCAGAATACTTCTGTGAGTACACAGTTTGCTTTATAAGACACAGCTGATAACAGAAAAATGGAGGGTCTGAAGCCTCTGGGGACATTAAACCTGCAAGCAAAGAATTTCACTCAGGTGTGGAAGAGCTGGAAAGAGGAATTTAACCTCACTGGAAGATAAAGAAGATGCTGTGAAAATAAAACTGTTTCGTTACCTGATTGGAGAAAAAAGGAAAGAGGTCAGTGAGACTCTGTGTGGAAATTTCCTGAGCTCCGCACACCTAAAAAGCAATAACGGGCTGTTTTGGTACTCTCTCTAACCCCAGGAAGAATGAAATGGTGGAAAAGTATCATTTCTTGACTTGGGATCAAGCAGCTGGAGAAGATATAGATAGATAAAGCACTGATTTAAAAGTGCTAGCAGCCAGATGCAGTTTTGGAAATATTAAAGCTTCATTGAGAAGAGACTGGATAGTGTGACCAGATATGAGACTCACAAATATGAGAGCGGTTGCTGAGGGAAGCTGACTTGACTTTGCAGGAAAGTTTTGTCCACACAATACATCAGAAAGGGAAATCAAAACCAGATGCAACATCAGTAGATGACAATGCTACAGACACGTGCCAATACTGTGGGAGAAAACATGAAAGACAGAAAGAAAAGTGTCTAGCTTGTGGGGAAAAAATGCCATCTCTCTGAAAAATTTAATCATTTTGCAGCCAAGTGGGTTTTTTTCCCAAAGAGAAGAAAAACAAATTCAAGGTACACACAGTAACTAAAGAGAGCAACAGAGTATGAGGACATTGTATGAGTGACCAAACAGATGGTAAACACAGTGCAAGAAGACCCTCGTAAGCACCAGAAACAGTTGTATGCAGCCAGGTTATTTGGGAGGAAAGTGATACAATTTCAATTAGATTGATTGGGATAATGTTACAACTCGTGCCACAGTCTGGTGAACTCAGACATATGGTTGGAAGAGACCAACCAGCTGTTAACAATGTACAACCAGATCACATTAAAGCCCATTGGGGAAATGTAAAATTAAATTAGGAAATCCAAAGAAAAAAAATACAGACTGGACTTTGTGGTCACAGGTGATGAGACAGCAGTATTGCTTCTGGGCAGCAAGACTGTCTAAGCCAGGAACCGGATAAAAGTACAGTTCCAGAACATAATAAAAGTGGATAGCAAGATGACTAAGATACCTTGGATGATATTACCTTGGACTAGGAGATGATACAGAGGGTGTATCAAGATACGTTTCAGGGAGATGGACAGTTAGATAGTGTTTATAAAACATAGATTGACACCAGTGTGAAGCCAGTTAAATTGCCAAAAAAGGGAAAGTACCCGTTGCATTACTACAGCCACTGAAAGACAAACTGTAGAGCTTACAGAACTGTGGAATTATTCATCCTGTAGAGAAG